TTCTCCGCATCGTCGCCAACACTTGTGATTCTCTGGTTTTAGACGGTAGCCGTCCTAATGGGTGTTAACTGGTTCTTCATTGTGGTATGTTTGTTGTTGTTGTTTTCTTTGTTTTTGGGATGGAATCTTACTCTGTCACCCAGGCTGGAGTACAGTGGTGTGATCCCAGCTCACTGCAACCTCCCCCTCCCGGGTTCAGATTCTCCTGCTTCAGCCTCCTGAGTAGCTGCGATTACAGGCGCCTGCCACCATACCTGGCTAATTTTTGTATTTTGAGTAGAGACATGTTGGCCAGGCTTGTCTCGAACTCCTGACCTCGTGATCCACCCACTTCAGCCTTCCAGGGTGCTGGGATTACAGGCGTGAGCCACCGCACCCAGCTAATTTTTTTGTATTTTTAGTAGAGACGGGGTTTCACCATGTTGGCCAGGTTGGTCTCGAACTCCTGACCTCGTGATCCACCCACCTCAGCCTCCCAGGGTGCTGGGGTTACAGGTATGAGCTGCCGCGCCCAGCCTCTCACTGTGGTCTTGATGTGCATTTCCCCGGTGGTGAGGGATGGTGAGGATTTTTCATGTGCTCGTTGGCCATTCGTGTGTCTCCTTGTGAGAAATGTCTGTTCACATCCTTGGCCTTTTGGATCATGTTTGTAGTTGATGAATTTGCAGAAGCCCTTTATATAGTCTGAATATTAATCCCTTATCTGGTAGATAATTTGCGAGTATTTTCTCGCATCCTATGGGTTGTCTTTTCACTTTATTGATAGTGTCCTTAGATGCACAGAAGGCTTTCATTGGGATGAGGTCTGATCTATATTCCTTTTATTTCCTGTGCTTTTGATGTTGTATCCAGGAAATCATTTGCTTCACTAAATCCTGCTCATCCCTGACCCGCGCCCCCTAGTATAAAATAGTCCTCCTGGCCATTCTGTCCTGTCACACCTGACCTTCCTTTCCAGGGCGAGCCACGCTCTCTGGGTCTGTACAGCCCCGTCTCTCCACTCGGGATTCTGTCCTGTCGCACCTGACCTTCCTTTCCAGGGCAAGCCACGCTCTCTGGGTGTGTACAGCCCTGTCTCTCCACTCGGGATTCTGTCCTGTCGCACCTGACCTTCCTTTCCAGGGCGAGCCGCGCTCTCTGGGTCTGCACAGCCCCGTCTCTCCACTCGGGATATGCACCCCGCAGGCAGAGGCCTTGTCTATTTTGTTCCTCATAGAAATCCCTTCTGGCTTGAACATTCTTGGCTCTGGGTTTTGCTCTTCAGAATTTTCGTTCTCTAAGAATCACAGAATGTTAGCGCAGATGTAGAAAGAAGAAAAAAACAGGAATGCTCTTTGCAATAAGAACGGACTGCTTCACATCCAAGGGAATCAGCATGACTCTTACACCCCAGGGGTGTTTTTGGATCTTCTGGATCTGAGAGGCGATCTCTACCCTCTCCTTTGCCTTCAGGGGTCCAGGCTGGAAGGAGAAGGTGAAGGGCAGAGAGTGCTGAACTGCTTGGACAAAACGTGAAAGGGTTTTCTCAGACATCCTGGGAGAGAGGAGGTGAGAGCCCATGGAACCAGAAGTTAGGGGAAGAAAAGAGGTGATGGGGTCAAGAAGGGCAGAGAGAGACAGCTGAGGTCACAGCTGGGGTCACAGGGAGATGCCCCAGGTTGTCACCGGTAAAGTGCAGTCCCCATTACTCCAAACAACAGCAAATGCCTGCTGCCCAGACGGCCCGTGAGAACGATGCTTCACAGGAATGAAGGAACTAGGTTGTGTCTAGCTTAGACCACCCACTGAGTCCCCCTTGGAAGTTGGAAGTGCACAGGGAGCCAGCAGGGGGAATGGGGATCCTCCCTGACCCTGGGCTTCCACCACACGGGTGGAATATGTCACCTCAAATCCATGCCCACCCAGAACCTGTGACTAGGGCTTTCTTTGGAAATAGGGTCTTTGCAACTGTAATCAAGTTAAGATGAGGTCAGGCTGGATTGGGTTGGGCCCTAAGTCCAGTGATTGGGGCCCTGATGAGAAGAGGAGAGGACACAGCCGCACGCTTGGGAAGGACACTGCAGGACGACAGAGGCAGAAGTTGCAGTGATGTCTCTGAACCAAGGGACACCAAGGATTGCCAGCAGCCACCAGAAGCAAAATGGGAGGCGTGAAACAGACTCTCCCTCCGAGCCTCCAGAGGGAACCAGCCCTGCTGACCGCTTGACTGTGGACTTCTGCCTTCCAGAACTGCCAGAGGATGAGTTCCGAGGCACCTAGTTGGTGATATTTGTTTCGGCAGCCCAGGACAGTGGAGCATCCTTAGGCCGGGGGAATGGGGAGTACTAGGCGGCTGACTGGGCTGGCCGTGGGGTCTGTCTCCAGTTGAGGGCTGATCCTGTTTCAAGAAGGGGCCAGACCCACTTCGGGTGGGGCAGAGGCCAGGGTCGGAGCTCTCCAGGGCTCCGGGGTGTCCAGGCTGCTGGCCCCTCGGCACCTGGCGGTAGAAAGGGGAGGCCTAGGGGCTGTCTGGTCCAAGCCTCGTGTGCATTCTGCACCCACCAGCAGCCAGCTTTGGTCTTGGAGCAGAACCAACGGCCCACAGTGGGGTCACTGACACCAAAGAACATCTGAGGAGCCCTGTGGGAACCATACGACCCCAGGAAAAATGCACCAGCATTTCACCCACTCTTCCTGTTGTGGGAATTCGGTGGTAGATGGGCAGAGGGACCAGAAGACCCTAGGGTTCCAGTAGGTGGAAAGGTGGAAAGGAAAGGGGCAGTAAGAGCCACCAAGGGGACAGTGCGGGGATGGAGAGACAGTGGCAAGGCCACAGGGCCGGACTCAGCCACATGGGTCCCTGAGGCGGAGGCTCCAGGCAGGGACCCGGTGACCATGAAGGGTCCGAAGGAGGAAACTGCTCAGCCACACAGGAAACCAGTTTGTCAGGAATAGTGTGGACAAGAAGGGCAGTGGCAGGTGAGTCAGAGGCAGCTGAAGGTCAGGTGACACCCAGGTCTTGAAAAAGAGAAGAGCCACCTGCCCTGGCATCACTAGTCACTGGCCTGGAGGCAATTTCATGGCTAAGCTATGTCACTGAACACCAACACCAGACAAGACCGCTGTGTGCCCGAGATGGAGCAAGATACACAGGATCATGTCGGAGCATAGGCAGAACACAAGCATCAGCTGGACCTCAAGGATCACCAAACCACCCCGTCCTGGCTAATTTGAGTGACCGCTGCTGCTTGATCAATTTCAGCTTCAGCTGCGCTTTGTTCTTCCTGCCTTCTAGATAAAAGTTATCAAGACACCCAGCTGTGGAGTCAGCCCTGCTGCCTTGAGCCTCTCCCAACTCCTCCTCCCTCCATGTTCTCCCAACACGAGGAGCCTTGTGGGTCCTTCCTAACACCCTCTCACAGCAACCAGTCAATAAACGTGGCTTGATTTCACTGCAGCGCGTTCCTGGGGTCTTTGGTTGGATGGTGATGGACACTTTGGTTTTATTCTGAATGATAATGAAAGCCACTGGGTGGCTGTGAGCAGAGGAGAAGTGGAAGTGATTTTGGAGACACTTTCTGGGGAGTAGCCAGGAGGTTGTGTCTGGGGGTGGAGGTGAAGGCAGCTGCGGAAGATCCTCTGTGGCTCTCGGGGTGGGGCGGGCAGGAGGAGAACACGCAGATGGCCTCTCTGTGCCAGAACTGCTTTCCAGGAGCTTCTGACAGGAGAGGGCAGTTGCAGAGAGCTGGACAGGGCTGTTGCTCCAGCAGCTCCAGGCAGCCTGGCGAGGCTGAGCAGCCAGCCAAGAAGGGAAGAGGCGCCCACTGCCACTGCCACTGCCACCCCAACTCCCTCTGGGCAGAGGAGCCGCCACACTCAAGCTAGCCTTTAAGACAAGAGTTGAAGGGAAAGGCAAAATCAACCCGGCTCTGCAGGCACCAAGGAGCCAGGACACGTGAAGGCTGTGCAATCCATTCCCCAGATGTCTGATGTGGGCGGCAGCATGAAAGGCTGCTTGGAGGGGCGGTGAGGTCATTCCCACAATTCTGGAGAAGGGTCAGGGGACTGTGTGCTCAGCAGGTGGTGCTGAGGGGCCAGACTTGTGGATCGCTGACAGCTGGGTCAGAGGGGGTGCTCACCGGGAGGGGTGTCCCCGACCACCCACCCCAGTTCACACTGCTTCTGGCTTGTGCCCAGGAGAACAAGCTAGCCTTCCAGGGGGCCAGGGCGACAGTGGGCATCCTCGTGCTGCCTGCTACGGTGAGACACGTGGGACACGTGTGTAGGCGCCTCTCCTCCTTTGATTACTAGTGCTGGGGGGGCTCCCCAGAGGTCCCCAGGAAGTGCAGAGGGAAAGGCTTGGCATCCATCCTTGCTGCCTCTCTCCTCCACCAGACTGCTTCCCCTCCTTCTCCCAGGACCTGGCCGCACCTGGAGGGTGGAGCCCTCCATTGGGCCCGCTTGCTCGAACTCCCCTTCCTCCCCTGCACTAGTAGGCCCCTCAGGCCTCCTGGGGACACTCTCCCCCAATCCCCCACCTCACCCCCTCACTCCTGACCTAGAAGAAGGTCAGAAGAATTTGGTACCATGGAAAGGAACATGGGGCATGGAGCACTTGAGGACACTCCCGGGACCCCCTCTGCAGGGGAAGGTGGAGCTTTGGGGCTAGAGGCTACAACAGCACCAGCCAGCTCAGTGCACATTTGTCTGAGTCCTGAGTCCCCGTGTTGCTGTGAATGTGCTGAAGGGGTGAGGCAGGGATGTGCTGTTAGGGAGGAAAGGGAACTCTTCGTGAGTCACATTTCAGACGCCTCCATTCCCATTCATACATTAGGGTCTGTGGGGGACTGGGGCACGTCAATATATTGTTAGACAAAAAATGTATATGCAATATAAATGCATTAAGAAAAAAAGACTCGAGGAAACTATTCTTAAATGTTAATAGTGGTTCTATGTGGCAGTGGGATCGGATTTTTATACAGTACTTTCATGTTTTCCAAATTTTCTACACCAAGCACGTGTTAGTTATATAATTTAAAACTTATTTATTTATTTTTAAACCAAATTCTCCAGCCAACTGTGCTTTTCTCCAGTTGCAGTAACTTTCCTTTCAGTCAGGTTTCTGGGTGAATTCAAAGAACAAGGCGGCCTCCCAAGCCCACATCATGTCACGTTCATATTTTCATTCTTCCTTCGTTGGGCCGGCTCTGTGGAGGCCGAGCGCTGGGGCTGGGGTGAGAATGGTGTCCCTGTACTTAGGGAGTTTCCAGCTAGCGGCCTTCTCCCGCTTCTCAACCCATCCCCTTCCCTGTCCACCGAGGTCGGGCTCTGACGGGAGCGGGCCGCCCCCTGCCTGATAGGTGTGGCCTAGGGAACCTGGGCTGCCCAATCGCCCTCCTCCTTTCCCCTGCGGCAGACCCCAGCTCTGAGCTTGGGGGGCAGGGAGGCCGAAGGGGCCTGCTAAACGCTGGGTGCTGGGAAGCCGCCCCCTCCAGGGAGCCCTCCGGACCTCAGGCCAGGGCTGGAAGCGAAGTGAGGCTGGAGACCAGGGAAAATGGGCGGCCGGGGGCGGCGCGCATCTCGGTAAGGAGCCGGGCGGCGGGGGACAGAAGCTCAGGGAGGGCGGCCGTGGCTTCTCCGCCTCCAGGGCGGCGGGCCGGGGCGGGTGTCAGAAGGCTCTGATTGGGCTTTCTGCGGCCCCGCTTCCACCGCCCCCAAACTCCCCAAGAGCTGCGGACAGCAGCAGAGCGCCCGCGACACAGGGGCGCGCCGCGCGGGAGCGGAGGAAAAGCTGGGGCCAAGGCCCGAGCGCAGAGGCGCCGCCGCGCGGGCTCCGGGAACGCGGACGCAGGGCGGGGTTGCCACGGCAACGCAGGCAGGAGCGCGGCGATTGGCGGAGCCGCGGAGAGGCGGGACTCGGGAGGCGTCTCGCGAGTGTTAGGCTTCGCGGGCTTCCGGCCGGTGCTGGCCGCGGGGACGGACGAGTCTAGGCTTCCGGCTTGGGCCGTGTGGGTTTTCCCATCTCCTCGCGTTTCTGGGCGCCAGGCACTAGGCGGGCCGGCCGGGCTGGCGCGAGGCCGCTGGCGGGGAGAGTGCCCGGCGACGGCCCCGAAGCAGCCCTGGAGGTGGTAGCCGGGGACGCCGAGGTCAGGGAGGAGACCAATCCGAGCGCGGCCCGTCGGGGCCCTGTCCCCTCTCCCGCCTCGTCCGGTCCCGTCGGGCCGCCTTTAAATGCCCGGCGCCTCGCATCTGCTAACAAAACGGCCTTTAAATGCCCGGCGCCTCGCACCTGCTAACAAAACGACCTCCTGCTGTTCCCCAGCTCCGTAAATGGCGCCCCTGGCCCTCCCCAGTTCTCAGGCAGAGCCTTTGCGGCCTCCCTGACCCCTAACACCCCGCATCCAGCCCGGCAGTATGTCCTGTTGGCTGTGCCTTCGAAATTTACCCAGACCTGACCTCTCTTCTCCCACCTCTGCCACCGCCCTGCTCTGAGCCGTCTTTTCCCGCCGAGATGACTGCAGTAACCTCTCAGCTGGGTCTCCCCGCCGCCCCCTTCCCCTCCCGAGTCTCCTCAACACAGGAGCCTGAGCGATCTCGGAAAGTACAGGAGGTCATGCCCCAGTGTGGTTCCACTTCCCTGGGTTTAAGTCAAGGTCCTCACCGTGCCTTCCGGCCTCCCTGTTCTCTGCGCCGTGGACTTCGGTCCTCCCTGCTCCGTCCTGCCTCAGGGCCTTTGCACCTGCTGTTCCCGCGGCCTGAAACGCTCCTCCCCTGAAATCTGTGACTCTCACTTAGTGAAGCGACCACCTATTAAAAACCGTGCCCCCTTCCTACACAGATGCCTCTGTCATACGGGGTTACATCCCCATAAACCCATCATAGGTTAAAGCGTTGTAAGGCAATTTACGGTGTGTTTATCCGGATGTAATCCCATCCGTAAGCGGAGTATACTGAATGTGTATGGCGTTTGCACCACGGCAAAGCCAAAATGTAAATCAAACTCGAAGTCCAGGGCGGCCTGTCGCCTGTACTCCCTTGCTTTCCCTCCCCAGCTCTTAGCGCCATCCAACATCGTTGATAATGTAATTTGATGTGTATTGTCTGAAAGCACCAAGACGGCACAGTTTCTCTCTTACTCAGATCCCAGTGGCTGCTCGGTAAACACTGTAGACTGAGGGGGTGTATAGGAGTCTTTTTTCCTCTCCCTCTTCCTCCTCCTCAGGAATGGGTGAAGATGAAGTCCTGTAAGGCAGGAGCTGGATCAAAGAAATGTCCCTGGTCTTGTCTGTGTGCAGGCTGTTGTTTGAGGACTCTGCTCCAGTTCTAGCAGCGATCGGTGGCTCCCTTAGGTGACTCTCCAGAAGGAAGGGTGCCAGCATGGACTGGTGCCTGCTTGCCAGATGCCCCGAACAGCTCATTCCTCAGGAGGCCAGGGGCGCCTCAGGAAGTCCTGTCAGATGCAGTCACTCTCAGAACCCTCTGGGCTGAAAGATGTCATTGATTTATGCTGGCAGTCCTGTGCAGCACTGTGCTAGGTGTTAAATTGGCTGAAGAACACCTGCTATTCCCCTCAAGGCCCCTTAGTCTGGTGGGAGGGAATGATGGGGAAGAGGCCGTGTGGAAGGCACAGAGAAGGAGAAGAGTGGGATCAATTTCCAGGGTGGGGTCTCTGGAAGTCCTCTCAGGGGTCCCTGGGGGGCATTTCTGCCTACAGCAGCAGGTGTAAGGTGTGAGCCATGGATGGGAAGGGAAGGAGCCAGCCATTGTTGATCGATTCCTCTGTGCTAGATGTGGCTCTAGATGTCAAGCTCACATTTACACAATTAGCCTTCCTTTACAGAGCAGAAAACAGGCTCAGAAAGCCCCTGACCCAGATTACACCACTAGTAAATTCAGGATTCAGGTCTTCAGCTGAGCTCTTCGTGGCCGGGAAGCCGTGCTTTTCCCAGGGCGCGATGCCACTTTCCAGGCTGGAAGCCAGACAAGTACCCGGGGCTGCCTGGAATTGCATGCAAATGTCCGGACAGCCGGCTTCCTCGTGGGCCCTGGCGCTGGCAGAGGAGCTCTTTGCCGGGCATGTGGCTTGGGCAGGCCAGGGCAGCCATCTGCCAGCCAGCCTTGTGGCGAGGAGGCCATAGGCCACCCTGCAACCAGATGCTCCTGGGCCAGTCCTGGGCCCCCAAAGGCACTTCCTTCAGGAGACAGAGTCACCTGGCTCCTCTCTTCCCTCTCATCCAGTTCCAAAGTCAGGGGTTCCAGGGCTGTGTCAGCAAGGGGCCATTCTGACCACTGTCCTTCTGTCATGGAGCATTGTGGCCAGGGATGGACATCTGGTCTGCATTGACCCCCATGGCCAGGACATCTGTGGCCCCACGGAACTCAGTGGCAAGGAGAGTCGGCAGCAGGGAAAGGCCACGCTCTGCAGTGTGCCTGCCAGGTGGCAGAGGATCCCTGACACAGCCCAGCTGGCATCTGCCCTTGCCACTGAGGCTTCCTGAGGGCAGCCCCCAAGGGTCCTGCCATGCAAGGGCTCCCCTTCTGCCAGGCAGTGGCTGCTTAGACTGAGGGAGGGAGGAGCTGGGAGTTGACCATGACTGATGGTGCCAGGCCGGTGGGATCTGGAGCCCACAGATGGTGGAGGATGGGGCACAGCTCCCACCCCTTGCCTGTGACGTGCCCTGCCGGCGGGCAGAGCCATCCAGCCTGCTCTGTAGAAGTTGGAGATACAGACTGGCAGAGGGAGAAGCAGAAGAGACAGCGTCATTTTACAGAAGGGAAAGCTGAGACCCTGAGTGGGGGTGGATATGCATGGATGCCCCGTGGGCTTCTCGTGTTTACTCCTCGGCACAGGGCCCTATTTTTCAATGGAGGAATTAGGGCTTGAAGGAAATGAAGTGATGTTTCCAGGGTCCCCTGGCTAAGCCAGTTATCTGGTCCTGGCCGGTGCAAATCTGAGAGGGGGACTAAGCAAGCCCTCAGGCCAGATCCCGGGTTTGCTCCCTCAGCCACAGCAGGGAAGAGTTGACCTGAGGCAGCAGGCCCAGGATCGAGGGTGATGCTCCTCCCAGAAGCAAGACGTGGTGAGGTCCCAGATGGGCTGGGAAGGTGGCATGAGGGCTTGGTTCAAGGGAGCCTGCTGGCTGGCCTCCAATATCCACCTGGGAACAGCCCCCCAGGTGTGCCCCTCGAGCTGCTAACCCCTAATCTGGCCACCCCCCAACTCGCTCCTCAGCACTCCAGTGGTCAGGGTGTCCCCTTCCCTGCTCCCTCCCTGCCCCTCCTCTTGGCAGCAGCAACCGAGGCCTCCAGGAGGCCAGAGGTCTTCCCACAGTCTCCTGGGCTTCCTGCCCAAGGCAGGGGCTGATCTCTCAGGGATGGGTGGGACTTCCGGCTGTGCCGTCGGCAGTTCCTGGCTGTATCAGTTAGCTTTGACTGTGTAACACATCACCCCGAAACCTAGAGGCTTCACACGACTACCATCTCTTATGCCTCACAGATCCCTGGGTTGCCTGACCAGTTCTGGCGTGGGTTTCCCTGCTCAGGGGGCAGCTCCCTGAGCCCGGAGCCCTTCTGCAGAGCTGCCACCTGCAGCCTGCATGCCGGTTCTCACCACACTGTGTCCCCGCCCTTCCAGCCCATGGAGTCACACATCGCCACCCAGCCCCCAAGGACACACTCGTGGAACCCCCAGCCAGGCGTCCAGACTAAGCCACCAGGGTGGCTCCTCTCAGCCCCACTCCTGACCAAAGCTTCCTGCCTATCAAGCGTGGGGACCACCTGCAGGCATCTCTGTCCTCAGTGCCACTCCGGATGCAGAGGGGAGCCTCCACCTTCCCTGGCATTGTCACCATCAGCCTTAACAATAGTTTGACTTGGTTAAGCTCCTCCAAGGGCCAGGGAGGCCAGGCTGGGGCAGGAAGGAGCAGCCGGCACCAGGTAACTGTGACAGAGCAGACAGCCAATGGGCAGAAGAGAGGTGCCCCCTGTCGAGACCAGAGAAGGCGTCATGGGGTGAGGAAGGGTCTGATCCCAAGGTAGGAGGAAGCATCCTGGGTCCCAGGGTCCCTTGAGCAATCTGCATTGTAAGGGAGGGTCCCTCTGGGGCCAGGAGATACATCAGGCAGTGGTGGAAAGACTGCATTTGGGGGCCAGATCTGAAGGGCCCTGGAAGCCAGGCTGAGTCGTCTGCCTTTGCGAGCGATGGGGAAGCGTTGACGGGCTTTGAGCCCGAGCCTGCCAGGAGCACAGCGGAGCTTCAGGAAGCAGCTTTCCAGTAAGTGCCGGGAGCCTTCTTGGAAGCAGGCAGAGGATGAATTATAAATAAACAAACCAGAACCCTGCAGCGGCGTGGGCCGGGTGGGAAGAGGGGAGAGACCGGAGGCAGGGCCTCACTTAGGTGCTAAGGCAGCCCCTCGCCTGGCCGCCACCAGCCTTCCCACCCTGCCCTGCACCCCGGCCTCGGGCACTCAACGGCCTCCCTGCTCGGGGCATTGGCGGGGACCTCAGGCTTCTAGGGCCAACTTTGGCCAGGCTGCAGAGGGGAGGCCTAGTGTAGACCCCCTCTGTGGGATTGGGAGGCCCCCCTGCCTCTCACAACTCCAGGGGTGCAGGCCCAAGTCTCTCTCACACCAAAACAGGCCCCGTGGCCACTCATCCGTGTGGGAGGTGTCTCACCAAATGTTTGAAGGGGAAAAAAAATCCCATTTTCTAAGGTGTTTTTTTCCTTTCTATTTTTTGATTATTTTTCTAGATGACTTCATTTCTAAGAAGGGGGTAGTGGAGAGAAGGAGGACAGGGGGAGGGAGGACTTGGGCCCTGAGGAGGCCGCTGGGGACCGGAGCAGCGTGGGGGGAGGAGAGCGAGAGGCAGGCCCAGGGAAAGCCCAGGCCTCTTCAGTCTGGGGAATGGGGGGCTGGTGTGACTCAAGCCCAGGTGTGTCCCAAACCCAGGTGTGTCCCGAGCCCAGGTGTGACTCGAGCCCAGGTGTGACCCAAACCCAGGTGTGTCCTGAGCCCAGGTGTGACCCAAGCCCAGGTGTGTCCCAAACCCAGGTGTGTCCCGAGCCCAAGTGTGACCCAATCCCAGGTGTGTCCCGAGCCCAGGTATGACCCGAGCCCAGGTGTGTCCAGAGCCCAGGTATATCCTGAGCCCAGGTATGTTTGGAGCCCAGATGTGACCCAAGCGCAGGTGTGTCCCAAGCCCAGGGGCCTCCAGTGCTGGCTGTGAGCCCATCTCCCTCCTGATCTCCCACGGGCCTGCTGACCACCTGCGCTCCCACGAGGCCCTGTGGGGAGGTCGGCTCTCCTCCAGCAGGAGGGGAAGGGTTTTCAGGCCTTCACCCCAGATTTCTGGCGTGTGATGCCCCCACCCCCAACCTGTCCCAGTGGCAGAGCTGAGAGCAGTTCCCCATCCCATACACCACCTGGAACCGGCAGAACCTACTCTGGCCGGCTTAATGGAACCCAGTACAGGATATTAAGAGGCTCATAGAACCTTCCAGAGAGCCTCGGCAGCCACACAGCCAGGAACAATGGCCCGACCGTGCAGTCTCCCCCACCGGGCATGGACCCAGCAGCCCACACCTACTATTCTGAAAGCCAGGGCCCCACCACCATCCCCACTAGTCAAGGTGTTCTGGAGGCATCAGCTTCCTGGCATTGCGCACCTCTGAGGCCAAGGCTGGCAGGGGTGAGTGGAGCTGGCTCCTGTGCCTGGGCTGAGGCTGCAAGGGAGGCAGGCCCAAGCACAGGACAGTGCTCACAAGGTGGTGGCCACCCCAGCACTCCCTGAGCCCTCGAAAGACTTTCCCAACCCCAATGCCCAGCAGTCTGCCGGGCTGGAGAGACAGGGAGGGAGGCTGTGTCCCTCTCCTGGGGCTGCCATAACAAATGACCATCACCTTGAAATCAACCGACATTTATTCTCTAACAGGTTTGGAGACCAGACTTCCAAAACCCTTCTGGAGGCTCTGGGGGGTCCCTGTCCCAGGCTGCTTTCCCAGCTTCCATGGGTGCTGGGGACCTCGGCACTCCTTGGCCTGTGGATGCATCTCTCCCACCTCTACCTTCCCCTGTGGGCCTCAAATCTCCCTCTGCCTTTCTCTTTTGAGGACACTTGTCATTGGATTTGGGGTCAACCCTTCATGCAGGGTTATTTTATCTTGAAATCTTTAACTTTATTCCATCTGCAAAGACTAATTCCAAAAAAGGTCACATTTTGAGGTTCTGGGTGGACACCTCTTTTTGGGACCACCATTCGGGGCCCTACCACGGGCATGAGAAATGGGCACAGGACAGGCAGAGGGGGAGGGAGGAGGAGAAGAGGGAAGGACATGGGTGTTGGCTGGGACTGCTGGGGCAGGAGGAGCCAACTGCCTTGGGACTGTCGTCCTAGACGTGGGGTTGTCTGTCCTCTTACACCTGGGCCTGCTCGCCACTGCCAGATGGTGTTTCCCACCACCCTGGCCTCCTCACCATTGCCTGGCATGTCCCAGTTCTAGATGCCATGAGCGCCCCACTCCACCCTCCAACAGCTTCCAGACCCCCTCCGAGCCTCAGAGTCCTGGGTTCTCCTGAGTCCCAGAGGCAAGAGAAGCTGCCCCATTCATCCAACCCAAGCCAGCCTCTTTCTTGGGTCACTGAAAGGAGAGTAAGCCCCACCATCCCCTCATCTCCCAACTCCCCATAGCCCAAGACTCTTCTTTCTCCTCCCCAAATCTCCTCCTGTGGTGTTTAAGCCATTTCTTCTGACGAGGCTCCCAGGGACGGAGACCTGTCAAGGTGCACGGGGCCATGGGTCAGACTGGGGCATGAAAATGTCTGCACACACTCTGATGTTCCTGTAGTCTCGCCTTTGAGGGAGACCCAAATTCCATTTCAGGGATGAGGAGAGAGGTTTAATACCTTGCTCCAGAGTTCACAAAGACAAACCTGGACTTGAACCTGAAATGACTAACTCCAGCTGTGACTGTTTTCTCTGATTCCACCACAGGGGCTCAGTCCCATGAGGAATACTGTCCCTGCTGAAATCCTTCTGGGGACAGGGAACTCGCCACCTCACAAAACACGGGCTAAGGCCAGGTGCGGTGGTTCATGCTTGTAATCCCAACACTTTGGGAGGCCAAGGTGGGAGGACTGTTTGAAGCCAGGAGTTCGAGACCAGCCTGAGCAACATCTCAAGACGCTCTACTATATATGTGTGTGTGTGTACACACACACACACTAGCTGGGCGTGGTGGCGCACACCTGTAGTCACAGCTACTTGGGAGGCTGAGGCAGGAGGATTGCTTGAACCTAGGAGGTCAAGACCAGCCTAGGCAACATAGTGAGACCCCGTCCCTACTTTTTTTTTTTTTTTTTTTTTTTTTAATTAGCTGGGTGTGGTGGCATGTGCCTATGGTTCCAGATACTTGGGAGGCTGAGGCAGGAGGGTTGCTTGAGCCCAGGAGGTTGAGGCTGCCACGAGGCGAGATCGCACCACTGCACTCCAGCCTGGGTGACAGAGTGAGACCCCATCTCAAGAAAAAACAAAATAAAACAAAACAAACAAACGAAAAAAACTGTGGGCTCTACCAATAGTCCCAAATGCCAAGAAAGCTTCCTTCATGGAGGGAAAGCCCTTCTCTCTCCATGGAACTCAGCCCACTGGCCTTGGCGATGGGCAGCGCTCCTGGCATGCAAGTCTTCTCCAAGACAAATTCTCTTTTCTTAGCCCGCCCTTAAAAAGTAGGGCTCTGGGCCCCTCCCCCCAGGAGGGTTTCTCTCCCCCCAGGAGGGTGTCTCCCCCCAGGAGGGTTTCTCTCCCCCCAGGAGGGTGTCTCCCCCCAGGAGGGTTTCTCTCCCCCTAGGAGGGTTTCCGGCCCAATCTGCAACGTCAGGTACCCGCCGTGTCTTTGGGTTGTGAGGCAGCTGGGGAGGGTGACTTTGGACAGGTGTCCCGGGCACTGTGCCCCAGTCAGGTGCAACTAAGGGATGGGCTGTGCCTACTTTGAAGGTGACAGAATCTGTCTGCCCAGGGCCACAGTCCAAAGGTGAGGCCCTTTTGGGGTGCCTGTCGTGGCATCTGGTCATCAGCCACCTTGGCCCCTGCAAGCTGGGGCTACCCATGGGCACTCCTGAACAAGGCCTGAGAGGGACCTGCCAGTGTCCGGGAGCCACTCTGCCAAGACTCAGGGGCGATGTCATACTTTGGAAAAGAAAAAGGAAAAAAAATAAAAGGCAACCACCAACAAACTGAGAGGCTGAGTCACAGCCAGGCGGAGGCATCTGTCAAATCCAAGAGAGCCATGGTGGGGATGGGGGCCCCCTTAGGCTTGGAGGGGGAAGGGGTACAGAGGGGCCACCTGCCCCGCTTTCCTGCACTTTTGGAGGCACCAGGCAGCCTCTCCTGGAGGACATGTGCCCTTCCAGTGGGGTGCTCTGGTCAGGGAGTCCAAGGGGTTGAGCAGACCTTGGGCTCAAATTCCAGCTCAACCATTCATCGGCCCCTAGCCGGGGCCAGCCACCCCAGCTTGCTCAGCCTCAGTCTCCTCTTCTGTCTAGTGGACATAAGGGTGGCTCTCAGAATTCTTGTGCCAATTACAGAAGAGCTGAGTGCTCAGAGCACCCTCCGGCATAGGACAGGGACCGAGCACAGACAACCGTGCCCTGTTTGCTGCCATCAGGAAAGAAAAGCCCCTCACCCCCGGAGCAGAGATGCTGGAGGGTTTGTCCGTGGGGTCCTCCTCTTTGCTTCAGGCCCTCCTGACACCCCAACAAATCAGCTTCCAAAGCTGTTGCTGGCCTTGGGCTGTTTCCTTGCCAACTCTCCCATACTCCCTCCTTCCTCGGGTCCCAGTACTCCTGAGGGGACTTGGATAGTGTGATGGGCTTTGGGGGCAGCAGGGGCAGGGCAGGATCTTCTACCCCGACCAGCATCCTGCCCAGTCTGGCAGGTCCCCTCACCATGGGGCTCCTGCTGTGGCCAGGCAGGGCCTGAGGAAAGCTGGCAGGCTCCGAAGTGGCCTTACTTAACACACAGCATGGCCCCAGCCTTTCCGGGAGCCACAGTCTTGGAGCAAGGGGCGGAGGTGTAGCCCACGTGCCCCGGATCAGTCTGGCAGGGTATGCTGGCGTCCCCTGAAAGGAGGCCCCTGCAGATGGCAGGCATCTGTGCGTGGAGGACGCCTTCATCCTGCCAAGGCACAGGGCTCCGGAGCGGGAAGGCACCCTCCAGACCATCCACACACACTCCTGGGGCCCGAGGCCTGGAGAAGGAAGGGACTTGCCCAGGGCCACCTGGCCAGGGGTGACAGGTCTCCCAGCTCTGATCAGGACCTCTAAGGCTCTGCATCCTCCAAGGCTGAGCCCAGGTCCCCTGAGCCTCTGGTCCAGGAACCCGCTGCACGGGCCTCTCCCCAACCCTGGAGCCCATGTGATCCCAGCCCCCCTCCCTCTGATGGCTCCCGGCTCCCCCACCGCGGCGGGTGCCTGCCTGTCCCGCCCCCGCGCTCCCGGCGGGGAGGGGTTCCTATGGCACCGCTTCCCCCGCACACACTTAGCTCACTGGCAGCCCGTCTGCCCCGAGACGGCAGCAGCAGATGCTTGGATGCACAGCGGTGCCTGCAACTTGGTCGGCCCAGCGCTTGTGGCGGGTGTGCACGCTGCCAGCCAAGGTGGGGGCCTGGGCCCTGAAATGCCCGCCCAGCTGGGGCAGAGGCCCCTCATCCAAGGCCAGGCTATAGAAAGATTAGGACACCCAGGTGCTTGCCAGTGCTGGGGACAGGGTGTCGGCAGAGCTGGAGTCAGAGCTGCCCTTGCAGCCCCTCCCCACCAGCTGCACCCTCACCTCCCTGACTCCCTGGGGAAGGCCCAAAGCATGCAGATTCTGCTCCCAGGCCCCAGCCACAAGGAGGAGGCTGGTGGGCACCACCCCGCAGGGGCTGCCACTGCCCGAAGTGCATGCCAAAGTTGGTGGCAGAGGGTCTGGAGCTTCCCAGCAGCACAGAGAGTTAGACCCTCAGCTGGGACTCAGAGACCAGGCCCCTTACCCTTAGCCTGCCTGAGCACCTCAGGCTCTGGTACCCCAGACCCACCCTCCAGGTTCTGCTCAGCGCCCTTCCTCTCTCTCCTGACTTCTCACTCCCACGAATGGGGGTGGGGGGCAGAGCTGGGTGCTAGGAGGTGGTGGCCACGGCCCCTGGATGCACATGGCCAGTGGGTGGATAGGCCTGGTTTCCATGGCAGCAGCCTCCAGCCCTGGGTTGGAAGAGGAGGGTGCTGAGGCCCCCAGAACCTGACCTTTGGCCGGGCTCTCCCCACGCCCTCCCCTGCTGCAGCAGCAGGGCTTTTCATGTGTGGGTCCCCAGCTGGGCATAGGAGGGCGAGCCCAGCATGGGGCAGGGGCCTAGGGGGCCATGCACTGGTGGCTGCAGTGCCCCCAGTGATATGGGGGTGGCACCACCTCCAATAAAACAGAAGACTCTGGCTAAGCCTGGAGCCCTGGGGACTTGGGCTTGACACTGGGCGGAACGTCCTGATTCCAGAAAGAATGAGAGCATCGCCAGGATCTGCTCCCAGGGCTGTTCACAGCCTCCAGCCCGGAGTCCCGGGTAAGAGGTGTGGGGAGGCGAAAGAGGCCTCAAGACAGGAGGGGTACAGCCTGCGGGGCGGAGTGAGGGGGCACCTCGTCTCCTTAGGACCCCAGTAGCCGAGCCCCCAGAAGCGTCTGAAAGCCACAGACTCCCAAGGAGCGGGCAGCCTCCCCTCCTCCCGGCACCCCCGCGGTGTGAGCTGCAGACACACAGGCACACCCGCACACATGCGCACGCCCCCGGGCCGCCTCTGCTCCCCTCGCGGCTCGCGTTTGTTTTGCTCAGGCAGGGCTGGAATGGGGACACGCTGCACTCTCGCAATTGGCAGTTTCCTCCAAGCCCCCCATGGAGGTGCCATATGTCTGCATCATGAATAGGCTTGAGGATCCGTGCCATGGCCTGGGGGGCTGGGAAGAGGCAGCTGCCAATCACCCCCAAGCAGGCAAGGGGAGGGGGCTACCAGAGGGGCAGGGTGGGGGCACAGGCAAAGGCCAGGGGACAGGGTGGGGCCAGGGCTTGGTCACTGGTTCTCACCAGGGTGGGACACATCCCAGGTGACCCAAGGGCCTTTGCTGAAGACAAAGCAAAACGCAAAAAGTCCTGGGCTTTGACCTTGATAAGTGACCAAAGTCCCCGAATCCTGCCCCTCGGCCTCTGGCCCATCCATGTGCCAGCCGTCAGCCCAAGCCACCTCCTCCAGGATGCCTCCCTCCTCCCTGTGCCTCTGCGCTGGCATGTGCACCCTGTGAGCCTTCACCAGTGAGGTGGATCCAAGGCCTCCCTTGCAGGGAGGAGGAGGAGGAACCAGGTTCAGCCAGCACCAATAGGGGCCACACTATTAATTCCCACAACACTCCGAGAACTGGGGATTATTATCTCCATTTTATAGATAAGAAAACAGGTTCAGCAAGGTTTTACTAAACTGTTTCAAGATCTCCCAGTGCAGCGACGGCAGAGCCGGATTCTGCTCAGGTCCCGACAGTGCACGGTCAATGGTTCCTTGCCTCAAGCCTGGAGCAGCCCCGTCCCCTGCTGTGCCTGGGCACCCTCTGCCTGGTGGCCACCCACCCTGCCCCACGTCTAGGGGACCTGGTTCCTCCTCCTCCACCTCCCAGCTCGGTGATGCACTCTCTGTCCTGCCCCCACCCCCTCACTCCCACTTACATGAACTCTTCTCTCCTCCTCCCAGCTCTGCGACGCTGCACCCCACCCCCACCTTTAGAATGAACTGTCCTCCCTGTCCTGAGATGCTGTTACCCACCTTGCTCACTGCAGAGACCACATGAGACAGGGTCACCTGTCTGCAGTCTGCACGTGTGTCCTTCCCTAACCCCAGCCCTCAGTCACCTCTCCCACCCATGCCCGGTCCAGGTCTGACATGCAGGTGACTGTGGAATGAATGAATGGACACAGGCAGGTACAGGCAAGAGTGGTGAGCCGAGCCTGCAAGGCATGGCCGCAGAAGCCTCCGCCAGTGCAGCCGCAGCCAGCGTCACACTGTCCCTGTGGGGTGGAGGGGCCGCCCCGCTCCGGACTCCACAGGTCCTTTCTCTCATTCCTGGCCCTGCTGGACGCAGCGACGGTGGGTCGGACGAGCTGCTCTGGGTTAATTGGCTCTCTCTTCCTGCCAGCATGATGGATCCTGCTTGACATTTCCCCAGATAGTTACTTGATAACCAAGTAATTTGTCATGGAGACCTCGTTATATGCCAACTGGGTCCCCTAAGCCGTTAGCGTCTGTGCCCCAGAAACAAGATTGGCAAGTTAATAATGGAGCCTTAATCACGCTGTTCCCTGCTGGCACTGGAATAGAATTACCTGGAGACAAGATGGGACGCTGTTGCTCTCCTTGGGCCTTGGAGATGAAGCTTCATGAGAGATCCTGAAGCCACTGACCCTTCTTGAGAGGGTCCCCTGACCTCGGTGTTCTCAACCAGGTGTTCCTTCTCCTGGCAAGAGTGCCATTCTGCTGAGAAGTCCCCCTCTACAAGGTGCTCTGAGGCTGGTTCAGGCTCTAGCTCTGCGCTGGGCACTTGGCCTCCCGGCCCCAGGCCATACTGAGGGGTTCAGGAGAAGACATGACTCAAGCCTGGCCAGCCAACAAGTGTCAGTCTCGGGCCTTGGCTGGGGCCGCTGGGGCCGCTGGGACAGCAGGGCTCACTCTGCCGAGGATTGTTATGTGGGTGAGGAAGCAAGGTTGGGCTGATGAGGGAGCAGCCTCCCGGAGAGGAGGGGAGCCAGGGCCAGGCCACGCAGGGCAGTGCTGCCTCCTGGAGTGAACTAACGAGGTCCCAGCTTTGCTTAAGTTGGTTTTTGTCACATGTAACCTGGAGAGTTCTGATTATACACAAGAGATCACCACTCAGACATCCACCTGCTGCAACTCCAGGATTCAAGCTGTCTGCCGGGGCTACGTGGAGGAGCCCCCTGGGGAGGAAGACCACGTGGTACACAGAGGCAAGGCCTGGGAGAGACGGCCTGGGCTGGGACGAGGGCTGGGATCGGCAATCTTGAGGAGGGCCTGGGGTCTGCTCCCCAGGTGGTCTTGGGCAGGAATGGAGGGGAAGCCTGGTGGAAGCTGAAGAGGAGTGAGGCTGGAGGAGAGGCTCCGGCCCCAGCCTTGACTTCAGCACCAAGGACAGCAGCAGCGCAGTCCCCTACAGTGAGGCAGGCCCAGCGCAGCCCCCTACAGTGAGGCGGGCCCGGCGCAGCCCCCTACAGTGAGGCGGGCCCGGCGCAGCCTGGCCTGGATGTTTTTAATTTTAAAAATCTTTTATTTAAAAGTAAATAGGGATGGAGATGGGGTTTCACTATGTTGTCAAGTTGGTGTCGAACTACTGGGCTCAAGCAATTCTCCCGCCCCAGCCTCCCAAAGTGTTGGGATTACAGGCGTGAGCCACTGTGCCCAGATGGGCTGGATGTCTTTAATGAACCAAAAGGAGGTTTATACTTCCATGGCAGGGTTTGGGATAAATAAGTAATGGGTACACAGAATATCCACCCAATCCCCTAAATGAGGCAGTTATTAAGTCCAGGAAAAATAAGAGGTTGTACAAGAAAGGAAATGTAATTACAATACATTACTCAGCTGGGAAGAGTGTATGCTGAGAAATAATAGTGCATACATTGAATTCTGATTCAATCAAAAGGAGAAGCTGGTGGGAGAGTGTGGGGGGGCATGTGTGAGAGAACAAGCCTTCAGCCGCCATCGTGGGAAGGACATGGGTAAATTTCTCAATCTGAAAAGGAGAAAAAAAAAAAAAAGCAGCAGCAGCAGGAACATGAGCATGGCTATTCAGAAGTAAATACCAAAAAGAATCAGCTACAATCACATAAAAGTTTGCCTCTGAGAAGGGGGAATCAGGAAAGAGGTGCTGGTTTTTCATCAGAAGCCTTGTATTGTTCGATTATTCAAACTGTCAATTTATGATGTTGATTAAAAGCATACATGAAATGTAGGCCAGGAGCGGTGGCTCACGTCTGTAATCCCAGCACTTTGGGAGGCTGAGGCAGGTGGATCATTGAGGTCAGGAGATCGAGAACAGCCTGGCCAACATGGTGAAACCCTGTCTCTACTAAAAATACAAAAATTAGCTGGGTGTGGTGGCGCGCCTGTAATCCAAGCTATTCAGGAGGTTGAGGGAGGAGAATCACTCGAACCCAGGAGGTAGACATTGCAGTGAGCCAAGATTGCGCCGCTGCACTCCAACCTCAGTGACAGAGCAAGACTCCATCTCAAACAACAAAAAATACATGAATGTAAGTAACTAAAAAACAAAACCAAAAATTCTCAAGCTGCTCCCTGCTCCCAGCTCTCTGTCAGGCCCACACAACTCCAGGGTAGGGCCCCGAGGCCTGTCCTGTCTTCCTGGATTCTGCACCTCCTCTCCTGGCCCTCTCGGCTCTCCTGTGCTCCCTTCATACTCCTCTCTGGGCTGCTCTGGGTCTATCTGCAGATCTGTCCTGGTCCTCCTCCCTCCTGCCTTAGCCTCCCTCCCACCTTGCCTGCCTCTTTCTGCACTTTACTCCCTTTTGGGTTCTGCCCATGGCAATCAGAGCGGAAGGGGTGCCTGTCCCTGGGGGAGGAGCCCAGCCCTATCTACAGGGCCTGTGGCACCCGCAATAGCTGTCAGCTGGCTGCTTTAGCCGCACCCGCAACTGGCCCCACACCAGCCGTCCATGGTGGTAGGACACCTCCTGCTTGCCGGGGAGGTGAATCGGGGATAGCAGGCGGCGCTCCATCATCTCCATGACACCTCGCCTAATTACACCGCGTGCTATTCATTTGGATGTCAGCGCTGCCGCATGGCTTTGCCCTTAATTAATAATTTGGTAAAACTCCACTCGGGGCCTGGCCAGGGAAGTTCAGCAGGGACTGTTAAGGCTGGGCTGCCGCCAGGGTTGGGGGCCAGGCTGGTGAGCACCTCCCCCACTAGCAAGTGTGGGCTCCCCCAAGCATTCCCAGGTAGCACCCCTCCACCCAGAGTTCCTGTTTGAAAGACCAGAGCCTGGGGGGTGACAGGGATGGGTGAGGGGTGTCTGCAGCTTGGGCACTGTCCCTGGAGGAGAGGGTGACTCAGGCCTCAGGGCACCTGTCAGATACACCTTCCTGCCCCAAACACCATGGCTTATTCTAAAAGCATTGGCAATCCATCCCACTGATAAGGAAAGAGGCTCAGAGAGGTGAAGTGGCTTACCCAAGCACACACAGCACACAAGTACAGAGGCCTTGGTCTGGAACCCAGGGCCCTGGTTGCCTGTACACAGCCACTTCCACCAGGACAAGGAGCCCCAGGCCAGGCCCTTCAGGGACTCTTCCGCAGAGGAGGCAGGCACAGGCCCTGGGGTGGGCGTGTACCAGCCACTGGGGTGTGAGGGGCAAGGCTGGCTCTCCTGGAGCCCATGCTGCCCTTGGCCCTGGAGGACAAGGTCCCCATGAGAGGTGCGTGGCTCAGGTCAGATGCTGTGCAAGGGGCCAAGATCCAGCTCAGATCCAGATTCAAACAGTCCAATGCCTGTGGCCAGAGTAGGGGTGGGGCTTGGGACAGCTAGGACCACCAGAGGGGCCCCTCCCTGGGGCCTGACCTTGGCCAGATCCTCAAGGACCACTCCAGTCCTGGTGTGTCTTCTGATCCTGAGTGCCATAGGAGAGGGGACGCAGGACCGGCTGGGGTCTCAGAGGCTCCAAAGGCCAGGCCCATGCGATTCTTAGAGTGTCTCCCTCCCAGCCTCCAGGCAGGGTGGGGGCCTGGGAAAGGGACACAGAGGCCCACAAGTGAACAGGAAAATCTATTTGGATCCGACTTGAATTATTAAGTGGTTCAAGAATATTCTTAGCTCTGGGACGGCTGTGGTCTGTAGAGACGGACTTTACCACGGCCCTATTTTTAAAGTTCTGTGGGTAGGAGTCGAGACGCCACTGAACTTAGAGCCCCCCAGCACGCCCCTCTGCCTGCTGCCAGGGAGTAGGATGGGGACCGGGCAGGGGGGCACATGCCAACCCTGCAGACCCCCACCCTGCAGGGGAAGGGCGTGTGACGCAGGGACGGGAAGTTGGGGTTCCCCCACGTACCAGGTGCCCAGGTCCACCCCTGCCCAGCCCCTGGCCCGTGAACCTGCTCCCCCAATTCTAGCCCCCCTTGACCCGCACACCCTGTTTCCCCTGCTTCAATCCCCTGCACTCTACTCCCCCAAACCTGCCCCCCTCCCCCAGAGCAGCCTTAGGGAAAGGGGCTGGGCCAGCTCAGGGCTGTCACTGTACATCCCCAAGGTGGGCTGGCATCTCAGCAAGCTGCTTTTGACTGAAGGAAAAAGAATCAAGCTTTTCAAGAATTCAAGTTAGTTTTATTCAAAGGTCTTACTGAGAATCCTAGACCCAGGCCCCAGCCCAGGAACAGCCTTAGAGAGGTCCTGTCTGACTGCCCAGCTCAGTGTCTCGGCCCACTGCTTGGATGCGGGGGCCGGGGCTCAGGACCTGCACAGTCAATTCCATCCAGCTGGCTCCGAAGTTACATGACAGCAGAATCACACCAAGGCTTGGGTGTAAGAGCACTTCTGGTTACAGATTACAGAAGCATAATCGCTAACCTCGGCCAACATTTTCTCACGTGCAGGAAGAGCCAAGGACCAGGGCCCTTCATCTTTTAAGGAATACAGTGACTCAGGCAAAAGACGCGGGGCCACGTGTTCTTTCCTGTTTTGTTTTCAAAGCGTCCCTCTGGAGAGCCGCAGTGTCACCGAGTCAGGGCCCACGGAAATGAGCACACACTTAGGGTTGCTGCTGACACGCCCTGCCTCTCCTCACACGGTTCATGTGGCCATCAGCCGGGGCTGAGGACCCCTGGCACGCACCTGTACCCCAAATGGACTACAGATGCCGCTTCCATTTCAACTCTCACCCCTTTAGGGTTCAGAGCTCCACACCCACTTAACCCCAAGCCAGTGGCAAAGCTTCCTGAGAGGCCGGGAACTGCCAGACGTGAGTTCCACACCACCTCTGCCATCCTCCTGAGACCCTGCTCCCCCAAAGACAGGCCTTACTGAGGACTTGGTGGGGTGCTGGTCAGGAACTGCCCAGTCTTTGGGGAGGCGGTGCTGGCTGTCTGTGTGGGGAGAGCCTGGGAAAGGCATGCAGGCGGATGTGGTTGGAGCCCTGACTCTCTGAATCTTGGGCCTAGGTGAGTCCTCAGCAGGTGCCCTGCACTCCCGGTCCCCTTTCCCAGCCAGGTCACTGCTCAGCATCTGCATGGTCAAGGAGGACTCCCCCAAAACCATGCACAGCCAGACGGCCCAAGCTAAAAGAAGATGCCAGTGACTAAAAGCAGGAGTGAAGTCGGGCACGTTCTCAGAGACCTCACACACATCAAGAAAATCCCGTGAACAACAGTATGCCAACAGATTAGATAACATGGATGAAATGGAAAAATTCCTAGAAACACACAAGCTAGCAACTGACTCAAGGATAGACAATCCGTACAATCTATAACAAATACATAGACTGACTCAGAATCAAAACTCTCCCAAAGACCCGAGACCAGATAGGCTCACTGGCAAATTCTACCAAAGGTTCTAACAAGAATTAACACCCATCTCTCTCTTCTAAAAAAACAGAGGAGGGAACACTTCCTAGCCCAATCTATGAGGCTAATATTATCCTGATATCAAAACCAGAGGAAGACATCATAAGAAAACGCCAGACCAATATCCCTTATAAATACGGATGTAAAAATCCGCACCAAAATACAAGTAAATCACATTCAGCAGCAGTCAATGGATTATACACCATGACCGAGTTGGATGTATTCCAGAAATGGAAACTGGCTCAACATATGAAAATCAATCAATGTAACACCTCACACTAACAGAAGAATACAGGATCTTTTCAACAGAGGCCAGAAAAGCATTTGACAAAATCCAGTACCCTTTAAGGATAAAAACACTTCATGAATTAGAACTAGAAGGGGACGTCTTCAGCTGGATAAAGAGCATCCTTGAAAATCTAACAGCTCACATCATATATAGTGGTGAAAGACTGAAAACTTTTCCTTAAGATCAGGAACAAGACAAAGATATGTGCTCTTACCACTGTGTTCAACAACGTGCTAGAGATTCCAGCCAGAGCAATTAGGCAAGAAAAAGAAAGAAAAGGCATTCAGATTGGAAAGCAGGAAGTAAAAATAGGCCAGGCACGGTGGCTCACGCCTGTAATCTCAGCACTTTTGGAGGCCGAGGTAGGAAGAAAGCTTGAGCCCAGGAGTTGGAGACCAGCCTGGGTTAACATGGTGAGACCCTGTCTTCACAAAAAAAAATCTTAAAAAATTAGGCCGGGTGCGGGGACTCACGCCTATAATCTCACCACTTTGGGAGGCTGAGGCGGGTGAATCACGAGGTCAGGAGATTGAGACCATCCTGGCTAACAGTGAAACCCCGTCTCTACTGAAAAAACAAAACAAAACAAAACAAAAAATTAGCCAGGCGTGGTGGTGGATGTCTGTAGTTCCAGCTACTTGGGAGGCTGAGGCAGGAGAATGGTGTGAACCCAGGAGGTGGAGCTTGCAGTGAGCCGAGATCGTGCCACTGCACTCCAGCCTGGGCGGCAGAGCAAGACTCCGTCTCAAAAAAAATAATTAGCCAGGCATGGTGGCACATGCTTGTAGTCCCAGCTACTCTGGAGGCTGAGCCAGGAGGATTACTTGAGCCCACGAGGTCGAGGTTGCAGTGAGCTGTAATCACGCCCCTGCACTCCAGCCTTGGCAACAGAGCAAGAAACTGTCTCAACAACAACAAAGCAAAATGATCTCTGGGACAACTGGCTACTCACAGGTATGACATAGGACCTGCTCCCTCACACCATACCCAAATTCAAGTCAAAATGGATCAAAGACGTAAAGGTAAGCACTAAAACTATACCTGTCTTAGAAGGAAATGTAGGTGTAAATCTTCATGGCCTTGAATTAGTCAATGGCTTCTTAAATATAACATCAAAAGCATAAGCAACAAAAGAGATTAATGGACTTCATCAAATTTAAAAACTTTCATGCATCAAAGGACACTATCAAGAAAATGATGACAACCCACAGGAGAAAGTATTTGTAAACTACAGAAGTGATCAATATCTAGGATTCAGAACATATAAAGAACTTCTGCAACTCAAGAAGATGACAACCCAATTTGAAAGATGGGCAAAGGATTTGAATAGATGCTTTGCTCACGAGGATATACAAATGGTGACTAAGACATGAGAAGGCGCTCACCATCATGAGCCATTAGGAAATGCAAATCAAGCGCACAATGAAATACCACATTTTTATTTTAGTTTAGTTTTTATTTTTTTTGGAGACAGGGTCTCATTGTCACCCAGGCTGGAATGCAGTGGCGCAATCACGGTTCACTGCAACCTCGACCTCCTGGGCTTCAGTGATTCTCCCACCTCAACCTCCCGAGTAGCTGTGATTATAGAAGTGCATCACCATGCCCGGTTAATTTTTTAGTTTTCTGTAGAGATGAGGTCTCACTATGTTGCCCAGCCTGGTCTCAAATCTCAAACTCCTGGGCTTAAGTGATCCTCTTGTCATAGCCTTCCAAAGTGCTGGGATTACAGGCATGAACCACCGTGCCCAGCCGAAATACCAGCTTCTACTCCGTGGAATGGCTAGAATCTAAATGGCAGCTAATAGCAAGTGGTGACGAGGGTGTGGAGAACTTGGAACCCTTGGGCATTGCTGGTGGGAATGTGAACTGATGGAGCTGCTACGGAAAAGTCTGGCAGTTTCGCAGAAAGTTAAACACAGGGTTACCACATGACCCAGAAATTCTACTCCTAAGTATATACCCAAGGCAGCTGAATACATGTTTACACAAAAGCTCGTACATCAGTCTTCCCTGAAGCATTATTCACAACAGCTCTGAATGGAAAAAACCCAAATATCCACCAAGTTCAACAAAATGTTTATCCTGATCCACACGATGGAATATGACTCAGCCATAAAGAAGAGCGAGGTTCTGACACCTGGCACAAGACGCAGGCGCACCTTGAAAACATTAGGCCGAGAGAAGGCCCCCGTCGCCAGCATCGGCTCTGTCCACTCTTTGCCTGAGGAGCCCCGTTTTTCCAAGGACCATGCAGTGGTCTCACCTATGCCTCAGTGGGCCTGGGGGCCAGCATGAGGGTCCCCAAAGCGATGCCTAAGCCCTGGACTCATGGGCAATGATGCAGGACCTCGGATTCCGTCCCCCAACCCGGGCGGCGTGCCCCAGGACCACGGCTGTGCTCGGGTGGTGTTACCCCCGGGAGAACCCTGCCCGGCCTGCTGGTGCCGGTGACATTCAGAGATTTTAGGGGGACACCTCTGGAGGCTGTCCACAGCCCTGCTCTCCCTCCCATCCAGACAGGACTCCACGGGGGTGCTGGGAGGCAGATCCTTGCCAAAGATGCTAGGTGGGCAGACGCCCTCCCCTCCGACCACTGATGCCTCGTTCCTGGGCCCAGCCTGGTGCTGGACTCCACCACCCCATGCCTCATTTATCAGGAGTGTACTGAGTGTCCACCGCTGGGCAAGAGACCTCACGCGTATCCCCACCTTTAAACCCCAACGCTTCTGAAGCAGGTGTTCACGTTCCCGGTGAGGAAACAGGTTCCAGGTGGACACAGCTGCGGCTCTCAGCTCATCAGGTGCTGCCCTGGACTCTCCCAAGTGGACCTTCAGCGCCCACCAGACAGACACATCTAGACCGGTCTGGACCCCACGCGTGGCTGTCCCTGGGGCCCACGTGGCTCCACGGCTGACACCTCTCAACTTGAGCTAGAGGTAGACAGGGTCCACACAACCTCAAAGCCGGCCTCGCCCGCTGTCAACTCCACACCTCTCCCACCTCGAGGACTCTCTGGGGACACTCTCCCCACACTGGCCCAGGTTCCAAGGCCCTTCCTGTCTGTCTCCCTTCCCAAGAAGTGGAAAGGGAGGGGCCGTGAGCCATCCCCATCCACTAGCTGCTGCCCCTTTTGGTGCGAAGGGCAGAGATCCCTCTGCCGCAGTGAGAGGAGCCTCGGTCCACTGGTGGGGTCCTCAACGAAAGCTAGATCCCCGACAGGCCCAAGTGCCCAGGGCTGGGTGAGGCCAGTCCGGCTCCACTGACACCCTGAGGCATGGAGGGCCTGAGGGGCTGTGCTGGGGCTCCCTCTCGCCCCACACTGCTCATCTGGTCTGGCCAGCATTGCTGACGGACAGCAGCCGCAACAGGCCACCTAGTTCCCGCTCTCTCCTGTGCCCCTGTGACTTCAGGCACAACACCCAGGTGCCCGCAGAGCCCCCAGTATCTGCGCCTCCCAGCCCCACTTGTCCTGGAGTGGGTCTACTTCTTATAGAAATTTCTAGAATAGAGTCTGCTCCATCAAGGAAGGGCAGCTCCACAGCCTGGGCCTCTTTTCCGGAGCCTCCGTCCCTGCAGCCCAGCCCTCCAAAGCAGCTTTCGAGTGAGAGCAGGCGGGTGGGGCTGGCACTTCCAGGCCCTGCGTGCTGCTGCCTGTGCACCTGTCCCCTCAACTGTGCACCTGTCCCAGGCCCAGGCTCGCACTGCTCCTCAGGAACACCAGGACAGCACCGTCTCGGAGGGGCATGGCGGGGCGCCAGAGACCCGCCCTCCCTGGATTCTTGTCCCAAGCTGTCAAATCATGATCACCGGCCTCTTCTTGTAGAGCTCAGGTGAATGGCAGGAAAGGATTCCAGGAACTTCTTCATGCTCTGTGGCAGATTCCAGCGTCCTCAGGGAGCCTGGGGTCTGGAGGCCAGCCGGCATGTCAAGGGTTGGGGGGTGCTTGGGAGGCGCCCAGGGGCTGGGGCCGGGCTGCAGGTGGGCCGTCGCCTTTGCCCCCACTCCTCAGCTGGCACCTCTAGCCCACACCAAGGGGCCCAGGGCTGCTTTCCCACAGTGGAGACAGTTTTGAGGCTGTGCCTCTGGGGCAAGGCAGGCAGGGACAGAGGACAGCAATAAACTCTCAGAGCCTGTGGGGGAAGGAGCCACCCCCTGATCCTAGCCCCGCCGGGCGCAGAACCTGGCACCCAACCCCTCAGGCACCAGTGACTCCCTGTCTGGCCTCCCACCCCGCAGCCCAGACTGTCTGTGTGTGCTGCCCCCACCCTCAGCCCCCTCTAGGCTGAGACGAGGCTCTCTGCTCCCTCTTCCCGGGGCAGGCTGGAGGATGGCCAGGACTGGGGTCAGGGGGCATGGCAGGCAGTGGGTGGGTGCTAAAGCCCAGCTACCCCAGCTAGGACCCCTCCCATGCCAGGGCAGAGATGGTTCAGTATGGCTGGGGCTGGGGACCTGCCTTAAAAATGAACCCTGATTCTGCGAGTAAACCTTACAGTAAAGAGATCAACAGAAATAAATAATCAAACAAACAAATAAGTAAAATAAAAAAATGAACCCTGAGAAGAAAAAAAAGAGCAAGCAAGTCCTATCTATCGAAAGGGGCGGGCAAAGCAGAGGCTGCAGGGCTCGTGCAGGCTGTAGTCTGACTCCCCTTTGTGGGCTCCAGGAAAGCGTCTCGTGCACTCTCAGGGTCTGGTACTTGCCCCCGTAGAGATCTGTCCTCTGAGCACCGTGACCACAGCTGAGCAGCCGATGACGGGGCGAAGAGGGGCTGTGGTCACCTCTACCCCACCTGGCACTGGGCTGTGCTGCGGCGTCCCCCAGGGGCGGTGCGGTCAGCCTGTCTCTGGGGACTGGGTACTCTACCTGCGGCTGAGGTGAGGTTCCCCTAAGTCCTTAGACCACCCCCAGGGGTGGTCAGTGTCCTGAGGCCAGAACAAGGTGGCCAGTGGCCTTCGTGTCTTCATGGCGCCCAGTTCCACCCTACTGCCAGTCCTTGCCCTCCTGCTCCTGGGAGCTTGGCCTTGGGGCTGTCCTAGGGCCTGGGCTGTGGTCCTGTGGGGGCCGGCCCTCCCCTGAGGACTCTCCAGAGTCTCCTCTGGGGCATGCCACTGGCCTCTGCGTCGGGCTCCTGGTGATGACATTGAGAAAGGGACAGCATCAGACGCTAGCGCCCACCTGACACCCCCTCACACCGCAGATGGGGTCTGGAAACTGTGGCTGGCCTGGACACTCAGGGCCTGCTACAGCCCAGCGCATTGGGCCGGGTAGGGCATGCTGCTCAGACAAAGCTTGCATTCAAGCTGGCCGGTCCCCAACTCTGGGAGAGCTTGGGGGTCCCTGCCACCTGCTCCTTCAGTTCTCAAAGCAGCCTAGGGAGGCCTGGGAACAGTCCCTGGCTTTGAGGGAAAATGAGCACAGAGGAACCGCAGCCCTTCAGTAACTAATCGTGGGTGAGGGCATGGTGAATCCCAAGCCTGGGGCCTCCTGCGATCTTTGCCCAGGGAGTGGGGGTGTCCTCTCAGCCTGGAGGCTCAGATGCAGGGCCTGGAATCCAAACTGCCCACTCCAAGAGGAGAACAAGTGGCCAGACTGAATTCGGCTTTACTCCTTATCAGCGCTCAGCATCCCAGCTTCCTCATCTGTAAAGTGGGGTCACAGTACCTGTCTCACAACAAGGTTGCTAGCAGGATCAAATCATCTGCAATAGTTTTAAGACAAACCCTTGCACTGTTAGCTGTGACTGTGCCAGGCACACTGTCACTCTAACAAGAACCAGCGGGACAAGAATATCTCGACAATGAGGAAGCTGAGGCTTGAGGAGTGCAAACACCACAGCTGGCTATGCAGGGCTGGGTCATGTCTGACTCCGAGGCCACACCTTTTCTGCAGCACCCATATCCTGGTACCTCACAGGCTAAGTGGACTGAGGAAGGCTGAGGATAGTCCCAGGACTTTGGGTGGAAGCAGTGGTGTTTCTGGAGAGTTCCCATGAGAATAGGAGTCCACCCTACTCCACTCTCCTCCCTCTTTGAAGACCTCTCCTGTGGCCCCTGCATGCCCTGGCCCCGCACTGTCCGTTCTGAGCCACAGTATTGCAACAGACAGAGGCTGAGCCACCAGACACAGCCTATGCAGGTGTCTGAAATGCCCCTTTAGTGCCCCAGCCTCCTCTGGTGCTCACCTCGGTGTGGGTGGCCTGGGGAGTCCCAGCGACTTGCGGATGTGCTCTCGGGAGCAGATGTCAGCCTGGAGGAGACAGACGTGCTACTAGGTGCTGAGCTGGCCTGTGGACCAGTTTCCCACCAGGAGCTGCTGGTGGCAATGCCTCCATCCCCCATAGAAGCCCATTCAGGACACACAGGTCACAGCCAGCTTTTCAGGCTCAGGAGCAGCGGCCCTGTTGGCGAGTGTGTGACAGGCATGCCTGGAACTTTGGGGTCAAAGCCCTGCAATGGCAGCTCTCACACCGAGCTGGGCAGTCCCTGACGGGCCTGAGTAGCTGGTGAGTGGACAGGCTGAGCAAGCGGGTCCTGGGTCTCCTCCCCACCAGTGGCAGTTGGAGCTGCTCAGCCTTCACTGGTTTCCAGCCTGTGCTTCCCTGTAGGCTGTGTGCAAGCTGAGGCTTCCCTGCTAACACTTGCTTCTCTGGGGACTCCGAGCCCAGCTGGTCTGTCCCCTCCCTGACGAGATCAGCAGTAACCCCTGTTGTACCTCCAGAATCACCAGGACAAAAGAGGGCGGTGGGCCACAGGCTGGCATGACGGCAGACCCCAGCAGGGTCTCACAGCAAGGTTGCTAGCAGGATCTAGCAACCTGAACAGGGCTCAGGTCTGAGTGGGAACTCCTGAGGGCATGGGGGGTCTGGCCCTGGGAAGTCCCCCTGATCCCAGCTCAGATGGGCTTAGATTAGCTTCAGGGCTGCACGACTCATGGACAGCAAGGGCTAATCCCCCAGCCTGCTCCTGCTTCTATTCATGAGGGAAGAGGGGCAGTGGTAGGCGGGGCCAGCACCTCTCACCTTGCCCTGGAGTGGCCCAGCCTGGCCTGGCAGGAGAGCCTGGACCTGGCAGGAGAGCCTGGACCTGGCAACCAGGAGCACAGCAGCGCCTGTGACCACGGGGCCACCAAGACGGCTCGGGGAGGAGCCAGGGAGAGAGCAGACCAACACTAACCCTGTCTGTGCTCTCCCAGAACCTTCTGGAACAGAGTCAGGAGGGGAGCCTGTTGAGAGGCGAGTGACCTCAGGAAGGAAACGGACCCAGAGACAGAGCCAGCCCTGCAGGACTCTGCGGAACAGCTGCATATCCCATCTGGCTGCAGCTTTCCTTCCTCTGGAGGGGCCCAGGATTTGGCAGGCTCTTCGCCAGTGCTAGGCACAGATCCTTGTTCTGTTTCTAGATGCTCAAGGTACTCACAGGCCAGGTGTTCCCTCCCTTGCAAGGACGGGCCACTGTCCTACTCTGGGGCGTGCTGAGGTGGAAAAAGGTCTAGGAGCTCCAGGAACTGTGTTGTCTGTAGCAGCACGACCTAAAGTTCCTGGGGCTGAAGGCCTGGGAGACAGTTTATTGGGTTCTCTCTTGGAAGACCACACGGCTGAGCTGGAATGGAGGAAGAAAGGCCTCTTTCCTGGGGGCTGGGGACACAGCTCACGGGCTTGAGAGTCCACACACCTGTGCCCTGAGCAAAGCCCTGCAAGGCTGCGGAGTCCGCTCAGATGCCACCACTAGGCACAGCTCCCCAGGGGGAGGGCCACTGTGGTATGCGGGCTGCTGCTGCCCCCAGGAGGCCACACTGCGCGCCAGCAGCCGGAAGGCACCGGCCCCATGGTGGTGGCCTGGGGGTTTTCCACTGGTGCTGCTGCTGCCCCAGCACAGGCTGCGGGGCAAGCAGTGGGGGTAAGACGGGGAAGTGGCAGACACCAGGGAGGCTCCAGAGCTGGGCTGCTGGAAGCAGCGCGGCTTGTGCAGACCCGCGTCCCTACCTCCACCCCATAGCCTCCACAGCACGCACAGCGGCCACCTAAAAAGGCCAACCTGCGGGCATCCCGCTGCCAACTCAGCCATCCAAGTCCCTGTGGGTGACGTCTGACACCCTGGAGCACCCCAAGATGCTCATGGGCTCCCACCCACTCTGTACTTCACTGCCCTGGCTCCAGCCACACCTTCCTGCTGTTTCTTTTTGTTTTTTTGGAAAGTTTTTTTGAGATAAGGTCTTGCTCTGTCACCCAGGCTGGAGTGCAGTGGCCCAATCACGGCACACTGCAGCCTCGACCTCCTGGGCTCAGGTGATCCCTCCCGCCTCAGCCTCCTGAGTAGCAGAGACCACAGGCGCGTACCACCACACTTGGGTAATTTGTTTCTACGTTTTTTTTGTAGAGATGGGCTCTCACTATGTGGCCTAGGGTGCCCTCAAACTCCTGGGCTCAAGTGATCCTCCCACCTCTGTCTCCCAAAGTGTTGGGGTTACAGGCGTGAGCCACCCTCCAGGCCCCCCGTTTCTTGAGCACATCAAACTCCTTCCTGCCCAGGGCGGCCCTTCCCCTAGCGGGTCTCTTCTAAGACTGACTTTTCTTGTACCCTCACTCTGTGGGCTTCTCTGGGACAGGATCCACCCATGTCTTGTGGTCCCCTGGTCCTATCGAAGCTGGCTGTGGGCATCTCGTGCCAGCTGTCTCTCCCCTGGCCCGCAGGCTGAGTCCTTTCTCAGCTGAGCTGACCATTTCAGCAGAGTTCTCACCCTTCCCGGGGGACCAAACAGCAGTTCTGGTGCTGGGTTCTGGTGCGGGCATACCCGAGGCCCCAGACCAGCATCTCTGGGGCCCGCACAGCTTTCCTGCAGAAGCCTCCCGGCTCAAGTTCAGCTGCTCCCTCTGGGACCTGAGGGGCTGGCTGGGAATTGGCAGGACACCTCACCACCGGAGCTAACATCACTGATTCTCCAGGCTGGCCTATATCTGGGTGCAGGAGGCTCAGAGAGGCTGGGAGGCTGAGCGCATGGGGCACAGGGCCTGGGGATGAACTCTTGGGAGCCCTGCACCCTCTGGTCTACTGTTCTGACTGCAGGGCCCGGCACAGGCCAACCAAGCTCTCCAGCAAGGTGTCTGTGACCTGTCCTTGGCCCAGGAACCCCTGTCCTCACGTCACTGCACTCTGACCCCAGCTGAGCTGCTGGCGAGCCCTGAACAGCAGGTGGTAGGAAGCAGAGGCGCCTGTGCTGCCTCCCCGCATCCCCGGCCCACCCACCTGGCGCACGGGCTCTGGGATCCGGAACCTGCAGCAGCAGCAAGTCAGGCGCACAGCTGCCTCCAGGCTCATCTTGTGGCCCACGGAGATGTAGAGGGGCCTGGTGCTGCGGTCGTGGCTCCTCAGGGCCTGTGACAAGGAAGGTGAGGGCTGTCCTGTGGGCTGGGCCACTGGGACCAAGGTCAGGACAGCCTCAGCGGCTGGAGCTCTGACAAAATGTCCTGGGGACAGGAGGGAAGGTGAAGGGGGCAGTGCTCTCAGGGGCCAGGGCCTGCCCATCCTTAGGGCACCTTCCTACTGCTTGTCCCTGGGGCAGGGTGGGCTCCCTCAGCACAGCTGGAGGAAATAAACACAGATATCACACCCCGGGCTCAGTCAGAGGCAGGAGGATGGACGGACGGGCAGGTGGGGGGTTGATGTGGGTAAGTGTGAGGGCACGCGTGTCTGCATGCACCTGTGTCTGCCTGCAAACGATCCCCTACCCCGGGGCTTTGGAGGGGCTCAGGGTCCTGGCCACTCACCATTCCCAGGACAGTCCCAGAGTCTCCCAGCAGAGGGAACGAGTCTCCTCGAGTCTGCAGGAGTCGGATCTGGAAAACGGGAGAAAAAAAAATGGGGAAAAAAATCCTCTTTTCTTGATGAAGGGCTGAAGGCAAGTCTCTTTATTTTATTTTTTGAGACGGAGTCTCGCACTGTTGCCAGGCTGGAGTACAGTGGCGCGATCCTCGCTCACTGCAAGCTCCGCCTCCCGGGTTCAAGCAATTCTCCTGCCTCAGCCTCCCGAGTAGCTGGGACTGGGACTACAGGCGCCCATCACCACGCCTGGCTAATTTTTTGTATTTTTAGTAGAGACGGGGTTCCACCGTGTTAGACAGGATGGTCTCGATCTCCTGATCTTGTGATCCACCCACCTCGGCCTCCCAAAGTGCTGGGATTACAGGCGTGAGCCACCGTGACAGGCCCAAGTCTCTTTATTTTAAAAACCCAGTCACTGGGCCAGGACAGGGAAGGGGACTGATTTTGGAGGTGAGCTGCGGCCCAGGCAAAGCAGCACCACCTGAGATGCCACTGAGCGTGCAGGCAGTGACGTGGTCTCGCCCGAGCTGAGAGTGCTGCCCAAAAGACCCTGTCCAAACCTGATGACGCGGCTTAGAACAAGGGCAGCAATCTGCCCAGGGCCGCTGTGCCAGGCTGGCAGCCACACAGGTGCCGCCACTGCCCAGTGACCAGTGCTGAGCCCGCTTCCTTCCTGTGGCTTGTCTCCTGCTTTGGGCACATCTGACTCAGCTCAACGGGCTGGTATTTCTGGAGGCAGTGGACTGGATCATTGAGTGGGTCTAAGGTCCCCATCAACTCAACAGATTTTTATTAAGCAACTGCTCCATGCAGGCGCCTGAGAGCTGGGAGGAATGAGAGATGCAGTCTCTGTTCAGAATCTGCCATCCAGTCAAACAGCTGAGGGTGTCACCAGCTCCCTCCACTGCGAGTGTCTCACTCCCAGTGCCAACATGGGGTCCCAGAGGAGAGTGTCTCACTCCCAGTGCCAACATGGGGTCCCAGAGGAGAGTGTCTCACTCCCAGTGCCAACATGGGGTCCCAGAGGAGAGTGTCTCACTCCCAGTGCCAACATGGGGTCCCAGAGGAGGACGGTGCAGGGGAAGGTGGGGTAGGAAGAGTGTGGGTGGCAGCTCCAGGCAGGCCTTGGTGGGAGGGGGGCCTGGAGGCTGGTGTACCTGAGCACGCAGGGGAGGAGACGGGGTCTGGGGCGAGGTGGGGTGGGAAAAGCACCAAGTGCACCCGGGACAGCCTGGAAGCCCATCCTGTCCCCAGTAACTGGGGGACTCAGCCCTACTTGGTGTGCCACGGTGGCTCAGAGGCGAGGGGACCAGAGAGGCAGGCACACCCAAGAGGCAGAAGAGGAGCTGAGCGCGCCCTCAGCTGAGACAGGCACGGCAGCGCCCGGAGGACAGAGCGCGCCCTCGGCTGAGACAGGCACGGCAGCGCCCGGAGGACAGAGCGCGCCCTCGGCTGAGACAGGCACGGCAGCGCCCGGAGGACAGAGAGCGCCCTCGGCTGAGACAGGCACGGCAGCGCCAGGAGGACAGAGAGCGCCCTCGGCTGAGACAGGCACGGCAGCGCCAGGAGGACAGAGCGCCCTCGGCTGAGACAGGCACGGCAGCGCCCGGAGGAAAGCAGGTCTTCCTTATTCCAGGCCACAAGCCAGGGACAAGGAGGGCAGCGTCCGCAGGCAAGGGCTGGTCCAGAAGCGTCCTCGTGCCCAGGGCCACGGCAGCCCCGCCACTGAGCTGCCCGGCATGGCCTGCAGCAGGCTCCTCCTCACCTTCTCCTTGTGCAGGGCGTTGTTCTCCAGCCCATCCACCTGCAGAAGTTTCTTGGCCACCCCAACGCAAGGCAGGTCTGTAAGGACGCCAAGGTGGCAGGCCACCCCAAAACCTGCCAGGGAGAAAGGAGGGTGGGGCTGGGGAGGTGGGGCTGGGGCCTGGCACAGGGATTCAGGACAAGCCAGAGTCTCACCAAAAGCTTCCCTAAGTGAGCAGAGGTCTGTGGACGGGCAGAGGGCTGGGGAAACCAGACCTAAGTCCCAAGCTGACCTGGGCCAAGGCCCCCTGTGCCCGATTTCCTGGGTGCCAGGCCAGGGAGGAAGCCTCCTTCCCTCTGTCACGGTCAGTGCCAGGGCCAGCACCTCACTGGCATGCTGGGATACTGCAGCCCAGCTCTCCAGTCATTTCCTGAACCTCCCGGCCTCCTCTTCCCTCGACGGTGGCCTGCCAGCGCTGGCACGAGCTCTCCGGTCATTTCCTGTGCCTCCCAGCCTCCTCTTCCCTCGATGGTGGCCTGCCAGCGCTGGCACGAGCTCTCCGGTCATTTCCTGTGCCTCCCGGCCTCCTCTTCCCTCGACGGTGGCTTGCCAGCGCTGGCACTAGCATGTGGGTCGGCACATGACCACCCTTTGGCTCTGCACCCATGTGCGAGGGCAGCAGCCCGGGCCCAATTACACTTGCTGGCCAGGAAGCTCCAACGTCACCCCTCCTGGGCCCTCTCTGGGTGCTGCTGTGCCGCCTTCAGCTCTGTATGTGGGGGTAAAAGAGCCCATCTCCCTTGGCTGGGCGCGGTGACTCACGCCTGTAGTCCCAGCACTTTGGGAGGCTGAGGCAGGCGGATCACGAGGTCAGGAGATCGAGACCATCCTGGCTAACACGTGAAACCCCGTCTCTCCTAAAAACACACAAAAAATTAGCCGGGCATGGTGGCGGCGCCTGTAGTCCCAGTTACTGGGACGCTGAGGCAGGAGAACGGCATGAACCTGGGAGATGGAGCTTGCAGTGAGCCGAGATCATTGCAAGTGCCAGCACGCTCCAGCCTGGGCGACAGAGCGAGACTCTGTCTCAAAAAGAAAAAAAAGGGCCCATCTCCCTAGGCCAAGGTTTCCGGCATCAGTGGGGGCCTGGGTGCACCTGTCTAGTTGTGGATAAGGGCCTGACGGGCCATGCAGTGTGGGTGGCTGGCAGGGAGCGTGGCTGGCAGGGAAGGCCACTCTGAGCCCGGGCCCTGGGACATCTTTTGGTGATCAGGTCAGAACTGGATAGTGGCACCTGGAGATGAGCCAGTGCAGGGCACTGTAGGGAAGGCAGGAGCGCGCAGTAAAGAGGGGAGGGGTGAAGCAAAGACAGTCCTTTTCTGGCAGGGTTGGAGGAGGGGGGCAGAGCACACTGTGAGTCCCTGTTGCGCCCAGAAAGGAGCCGCTGGAGGGGCTGGCGGCAAAGGCCGAGGGGCCGGCGTTTTGTGTCGGGGGTGACAGAGGCGCCCTCTCCCCCATCTCTTCCCCACAGTGCCTTCCCGGGACCTCCGAGAGCAGGATTACCTCGGTGGTGGAGCACCCCGTTTCCATCCACAAGAAGGACCTATGGAGCCATGGGGAGAGTCACAGTCAGCTGAGCTGGCCCTCGGCACTCAGGACAGGGCCATCCCTGGGGCAAGAAGGGGGCACTGTCTCTGGGGTCCAGCTTTTTAGAAACCCTCATTCCTCTCTTCCAGGAAGCTCACGAGTCTCTCCCGGCCACTTCGGTGGTGGCGACCTGCAACCGCCTTCCCTCCCCCGGGGGGAAGGAGGGATCTTTCTCTTGTCCTAGGGATGAGACACCTGCCTGGGGCATGAGGCCCGGCTCCTTCTCCCGCAGCTGCTGCACCAGCTCCAGCAAGAAGGGCACCTCTCGGAAGGCCAGGAAGCCCGACACGTAGGGGGCTGTGAGGCTGACCATGCGGCTCTCCTCGTACACCACCTGCCACCAGGCACGCAGCTCAGTGGGCAGCACAGCCCTCGGCCACCTGCCCTGCCGCCACTCCCTCCATGCTGCACCCCCGCCACCCCGCTCTTCATCCTTCCCTCTCCCTTACCTCACCCTCATGGCTCCCCTTCCCTGCCTCACCTACGAGACGATGGGTTTGGCATAAGGAACTAGATGATGTACCCTGCAAATTGGTGGTGGGCAGTACCCCCCGTGACCTGGTCCATATGAGAACCCCCCACCCCAGACCTGGTCAACTGGAGGAGCCCCTCCCACCCCCGGGACCTGGTCCGTATGAGGAGCCCCAACTCCCAGACCTGGTGTGTTACAGTAGGAGCCCTGGGACATGGTCTGTAGGAGGATTCCCTGGTCCGTATGAGCAGCCCCCCGGGACCTGGTCCATAGGAGGAGCCCCCTGGAACCTGGTCCATAGGAGGAGCCCCTCCACCCCCGGACCTGGTCTGTAGGAGGATTCCCTGGGATCTGGCCCATACGAGGAGCCTCTGGAACCCGGTCTGTAGCAGGATTCCCTGGGATCTGGTCCTTAGGAGCCCCCCGGGACCTAGTCTCCATCAGAAGCAAGGCTAAGGTTGCTGGCTGCATCACCTCTGCCTGCCCCTTGCTTTCCTGGTGTCTCCTCCTTTGTGTATTGAAGCGGACGCCCCGCCCCACCCCTCCATGGGTTGTTGGAGGCTTAAAGAAGACACAGTGTTGGCCAAGACTGGTGGCTCACACCTGTAATCCCAGCAATTTGGGAGGCCGAGGCAGATGGATCACCTGAGGTTGGGAGTTCGAGACCCGCCTGACCAACATGGAGAAACCCCATGTCTACTAAAAATACAAAATTAGTCGGGTGTGGTGGCACATGCCTGTAATCCCAGATACTTGGGAGGCTGAGGCAGGAGAATCGCTTGAACCCAGGAGGCAGAGGCTGTAGTTTAGAGCACAACATGGCAGGCCTGAGTCTCCTAACCTTGTGTTTTCCTTAGTCACACTAGCCTTAATGTGGGGACGCGTTTCCCACTATATCACATTCTCCAGACCTGTCTACCTTCCTGCAATTTTGTTCCTGAATCCCCCACATCTCTTGGTGACAGCTTTCAAATCACAACTTCCACTCCTCACTTGTGGCTGGATCAATAATTAAACACATCAAAGAAAACGGAGTGCTCTGTATTAGCACCGAGGGCTGGGGCTCGTTCTCTCGACATCTTTATCAACGACTCAATGGGGAAACTGATCAAATCTGCCCATGACCCAAAGTGGGGAGGGTCCATTCTGATAACAGAATCTAGCTGGATCACTGACATCCCCACAGAGCAAAGTCACTTTGCACAGTGACACGTGGAATTAAAGTGTGGCCTGAGTTCCCACAGCAGGCGGGGGCTGCTTACGTCTCAATCTCTCTCATAATGCTATAATTCAGGTGACGTTATGGGGTGACTATGATTTGTAATCAGTACGCTAATGACACTGCGGCTGTGGAGGAGAACGTCATTCTCAGGACAGGCCTGCTGATGTCTTCTGAGCTGAGCTGTCACAATCGCGGGGATGTATGGTACACACACACACAGCATGCACACGTGCGAGAGACTATTCCAGAGCAGCAACAGCTGCACGTAAGTAGAAGGAATACAGTTGTCCGATGCATCCTTTTTCAGTTTTTGGGGATGTATGTATATTTTCAAGTTAAAAATCTGGGAAAAGAAAAATCACTGTATGATTAGTGTGGGGGGCAGGTCTGGATGACCAGCAATCTCAACATAAGCCAGTGACCTGGTGCCCCTCAAAAGTTACCAGTGTTTCCAGCTGCACCGACGGAAATGGCGTGGGTGAGTGGAAGGTCTAGGGACTTGGGTAGACCACATCCGAGTTCCTGCATTTGATTCTGAGTGCCAGATGGAAAGATGGACCCTGTGAACAGAGGGCATGACCAGAGGGCCACTGGCCAGTGAAGAAGCTGGACGTCATCACAGCCTCTTGGGACCATGTGGTCAAGGAGCACGCAGCTGTTTCCAGCAGCGGAAGGGCTGACAAGCAGAAGGCAGGGAAGATCCGTTCTGTTTTGCTACCTGAAGGCAGAACTGATCGATGGGAATCACAGACAAGCAGGGGTGAGCTCCCTGCAGAGCCCGTGGAGCAGCACACACTAGCCATCACTCAGCGTCTGGCATGGAACAGGCTCCGCCGGGAGGCCTGTGGAGCAGCACACACCAGCCATGGCTCAGAGTCTGGCACAGAACGGGCTCCACCATCGTTTGTCAGGGATGCTAAGGACAGTGTTCTTCATGGTGGGAAAAGCAGGCCAGTGGTTCTCCAACCCAGCTCTGCTTCAGAATCACAGGAAAGCTTATTTTAAAAAGCAGATTCCCAGGCCATACTCTGGGAGAGTTTTTCCCCCAGTAAGTGGGGTAGGGCTCTGGAATCTGTTTTTTGTTTTTTTTTTTAGACAGAGTCTTCCTCTGTCACTCTGGCCGGAGTGCAGGGGCGCAATCTCGGCTCACTGCAAGCTCCGCCTCCCGGGTTCAAGCCATTCTCCTGCCTCAGCCTCCCGAGTGGCTGGGACTACAGGCGCCCGCCACCATGCCTGGCTAATTTGTTTGTATTTTTAGTAGAGGCGGGGTTTCGCCATGTTAACCAGGATGGTCTCGATCTCCTGACCTTGTGATCCGCCTGCCTCAGTCTCCCAAAGTGCTGGGATTACAGGCCTGAGTGACCGTACTCGGCCTGTTTTGTTTTGTTTTTTTTTTTTTTCTAACAGCTTTACTGAGATACAATTGACATACCATAAAGTTAACTTGTTTAAAACATACAATGCAATGGTTTTGGTATTTACAGAGTTGTGCAATATCACTATAATCTAACTTTAGAACATCTTCCTTAACCTCTAAATAAACCTCACACCCATCAGCAGTCACTTCCCATCTATCCTACCCCAAGTTCAAGGCCCAGGGATCCACTTTCTGTCTTTGTGGATGTGCCTATGGAATCTGTTTCTCAACCCACTTCCGGGTGATTCTGCTTCTGCGGGTCCACGGTCGGGCATTCAGGAACCAGTGGACCAGACTGTTCCAAGATCCCTTCCTAGTCTAAGCTTTCATAGCCGGAACAATGAATACCGACAAAGTAGCAGGTGCTTTGCTTGGTGCTGGGGTTATAAAAGAAGTATGGTACAGCCCTATCCTTGAGAACCTACAGTCACTGGGAAAAACGGAATCATAAATGACTAACTTGAATACAATGTGAGAAGTGCTACGACAGCATGGGCATTAAAAAGAGGCTCAGGATGCAGATAAAAGGGTGATTAATTCACAGCCAGGGAAAGTTGGAGGGGGAAGGGAATGCTGTGTTAATTGCTTTCCATGCATTTCATGTACGGCTCATCACAATTCTGTGGGCTGGATATTAATACCACTATCATCCTTAAGTCAGAAAAAAGGAGACAGAGGCCTAGAGGGCAAAGTGGGGAGTGGCAGAGCTGGGTGTGAGCATGAGCAGTCAGGACCCTAAGACTGTGCCCCCACTCCCCATGCTAGCCTACGAAATGGCCAGGGGTCCCCTTACGGTAGGGATTGCTGAACATCCCAATCTTAGCACACAGGAGGCACTCAGTACAGTTTTGCTTAGTTTGGACTGAAAAGGGCCTCCCAAGTAAAGCACAAAGCCATGGAAGCAGGAAGACGTTTGTCATCTTCGGGAGCCGCAGAGGAGCAAGGTGAGTGGCGCCAAGAGGCTTCGGAGCTGTTGACTCTTATGTGAATCATGAGCCCACTGTCCATTCACACACATATCTATTGAAGGAAGAGTCCAGCATCTTCTGCATGCTACCCACGGTGGGCAAAGCAACATGGTTTCTACCATCACGGAGTTTATATTCCAGTAGGGAAGACAGGGCAGTTCCATTCCAGCAAGACAAGAGGAAGCAGAGGGTTGCTATGGTCTAAGTGTTGGTGTCCTCCCCAAATTCATATGTTGAAATTATAACCCACAGGTTACGGTATTACGAGGTGTGGCCTCTAGGGAGGTGAGTGGATCACCATGTGAGAACGTGGTTAAGAAGCTGGCCCCGTGCAACCTGGAAGAGCGCTGGCACCACAATCCGATTGCGCTGGCACCCTGATCTCCAGCCTCCAGCCTCCAGCACTGTGGGAAATAAATTCCTGCGGTGGGTAAGCCACCTAGTCTAAGGTATTCTATTACAGTAGCCCAGACAGACTAAGACATGGTGCTGGGGGACAACTCCTGGTCTTGTGGGATGAGAGGGAGCTTAGTGGAGGAAGTCATGTCTAAACTGAGCCCGAAGAGCTGAGTAGGAGTTAGCCAGATGGAAACCCTTCCAGGAGAGGAAACATTACTGCAGAGGTCAGGCCGCCAAACCCAGCGTGGCACACGTGTGAAGGATTCAAAGTGGGCTGTAGGGGGTGCGAAGAACTGAGAATGGTGGTGAGGGCTGAGCCTCCAGCGTCACATTAAATCACGCAGGTGACAGGTCATAACGGGCCTTGAAGTCATAGTCAATGAGAGTGAACTTCATTCACCATGAGGTCATGAGAATGGCACTTTGATGTTCTAAGAGGACTTGTGGGCTGGGTGTGGTGGTTCACACCTGTAATCTCAGCACTTGGGGAGGCGAAGGTGGGAGAATCCCTTGAGCCCAGGAGCTGAAGACCACCCTGGACAACATAGTGAGACCCTGTCTCTACAAAAACTGAAAAAATAAGCTGAGTGTGTTGGCTCACACCTGTGGTCCTAGCTACTCAGGCTCAGGTGGGAGGATCACGTGAGTCCAGGAGGCTGAGATTAGATCTTGGCAGTGAACCAAGATTATGCCACTGCACTTCAGCCTGGGACACAGAGAAGGGGAAGGGAAGGGAAAAGGAAAGGGAAAGGGAGGGGAGGACAGGACTTGTTGCTTTTGAGGAAAATACCTGTTTTTTGGGAAAATCGGTCTGCTGGCAGTATGGAAAATAAACCACTGAGGAGGAACACTTGAGCCAGGGCACCCATGAAAATGCTGCTCAGGAACCCACAGGAGTGACGGTGGCACAGCCAGGGAAGAAGCAGAGGAGAAACAGACAAGGGGATAGATTCCAGCGCCATCTAAGAGGCAGGAAAAAAGGGAGCTAGTGTGCAACTGGACGTGAGAGGAAGGGAGGGGCCCAGCAGGACACAGATTTCCAGCTTGGGCAACTGAGGGTGTGGTGTCCAGGTCACTGAGATGAGGAACCCAAGATAACAATCAGACTTGGAGATAAAGCTCATGAGCTGATTCTTAACAGTCACAGAATTCCTTTAATTTTTGCCTTTTTTTCCCTTCCCAAACTCCCCAGACTATTTTTTTTTTTTAATTGAGATGGAGTTTCGCTCTTGCTGCCCAGGCTGGAGTGCAAAGGCATGATCTCGGGTCACCGCAACCTTCGCCTCCCCGGTTCAAGCGATTTTCGCGCCTCAGCCTCCCGAGTAGCTGGGATTACAGGCATGCGCCACCACGCCCGGCTAATTTTGTATTTTTAGTAGAGATGCGGTTTCTCCATGTTGGTCAGGCTGGTCTCGAACTCCCGACCTCAGGTGATTCGCCCATCTCGGCCTCCCAAAGTGCTGGGATTACAGGTGTCAGCCACCGAGCCCGGCCAACTCACCAGACTATTAATGACATCCTACAAAACGAGAAGCCGGGTTCTAGGCTTGCACTGCTCCCTGCCCCGGAGATCCCACGCCCGAGCCCATTGAGGGGCCCGCCTCGAGCTCGGCGTCCTCCCAGGTTACCTCGAGCTCAGGGTAGCTGAGCACCACCAGGGAGGCACAAGCGCGGACACTGTCCCCTTTCACGAAGGACACGTCAACGCCCCCGACCCTCCGCAGACCCGAGAAGGCGGGGTCTCGCTGCCACGCCTCGGTGTCCCTGTCTACGACGCGGGCCTTCAGCCGAGCTTGCTCCCTAGGAGGACAGAAGCAAAAGCGTCAAACTTGGTCGGGGCCACACCCCCGACTCTGCCTCCTCCACCCGTGCGGCTGCAGCGGCCAGAGCGTCTCTGCCGGGTCTTCTCCCGCTTCAGGGGAAAGCAAGGGACACACCGGCAAAGCCACAGTCCCTAGGAGCCCAGGCGGCGGAGACCCGGCAAGGCGCAGGCCAGGCAAACGGACCGGAAAAGAGAACCGCGCCCACCCCGCGGACTACAACTGCTGAGGCCCCGCCCCTGCCGCGCCGGAAGCTGGGCCGTGCTTGGGGGGCTCGGCCGGCGGCCGCCCTGACTCCACAGCCCGAAGACTACGAGCTCGGAGGGACCGCGAAGGGCCACGCGGCCTCGGCCCTCGCCTCCTGCGCGTCGCCCGACAGCATTACCGTTTCCACAGTGACAGCGTTTCCTCCGGCGGCCATTCCGCCGCCTCCTGGGCCATGGTTTTGTCCCGGGCACCCTTCTGCACGTCACTTCCGGAGGCGAGTAGCGCAAGCGCCATCCGCCCTCGTTGCCATGGAGACGCTTGCGCTTTCCCGGGTCGCATTTCCCGCCCGGGTCCTCAGACGCTCCTGGCCACTGGGTGAGCTCCTGCGTGACGCACACGCACGCTCACGGCTTCACGTTGCCCCGCGGCGCCGCGCGCGATATCGACTCGGACCCCGAGAGGCCGTCCGCCCCGTTTTCAGCGGATAGCTGGGGCCAGGTAAGTGACCGCGCGAGGACCCGGGATCCCGGTGACGCCCGTCCCGCCTCTGCTGTCCCCGCCGCGAGCGCTGCGCTCTGCAGGGCACCTCTGCGCTTGGAAAAGGGTGGTCCTGCACTGCGGGTCCCACTCCTCGGCCCGGTCAGCGTCCGCCTTTGCCGAACCCCGAAAGGTTTCACCAGGTCCAGGACGGCCCGGCGGTTGCCTCAGGAGCACTTACTGGGCGCCTGTCGTTGACGCCCCCCACCTTGATGGCAGCTCAGGGGTGTTCGCAAGCTTTTGAGGGCAGGTGTCGTGTCTTTAAATTCCTCACAGCCTAGCGGGCTGAACTCACGGGAGGGCTGCAAACTTGTGCTGGGTTTCATCTGGGTTGGACCTTGCTGGGCAGAAAACTTCCCCTACCAGACAAAGTACGGGCGACCTTGGAGATCTTGATTCTTACCTCGTGCTCCTCAATTGAACTAGCGTGGGTTCAGTGCTCTCGCTGTGCCAGGTGTTGTGCGAAGTACTGTGAGGGAGAATATTTATTTGTGGGGAGCCGGCTTTAAACCGGTGGTTGGGAAAGGCCCGAGAGGCGATACTGGAGACACCTGAAGAAGGGTGAGTGAAAGAGCGTGGCGGGTGAATGGAACAGCTTTTGCATGAAGGTCCAGGGGTGGGAACGAGGTTGGTGTATTTGAAGCACGGAAAGGCAGCCAGTGAAACTGAAGTGTAGCAATTTAACCCGTGGTTTTGTATTCTACTGGGAGGATTCAGAAGGGTGCGTGTGTATGTGTGTGTGTATATATAAACGTCAAGGATGTTAGGTTTTGAAGGGAACGTGAAAGTTGAAGGATGACGCACGGAGAGTGGAGAGTGCAGGCGGCTCTGCAGCAACACAGGTACATTGCAGACACCTGTGGGGGGCCGGCTTCACGCCAGAGCCCGCCAGCGATTACAGGCTGGGGTAGTCATAGGCCTGCGGGAGGGGTCTACAGTATGGCTTGCTGCCCGGGAAGATGTTGATAACGTGTTCCCAGGATGAGGTGGTTCCGGCGGAATGTGGTGTTTCTGGCACTTTGTCCCAGCAGAATATGTTAAGAGCCAGGCTGTTTGTCATGGCTCCAACCCCCGTGGAATGTTTCACTTTGACCAAGGTCTGCAAAATGGAAGGGGGCTTAGAAAATGGCGCAGTTTGGACTAACAAAGGGGAAAATATAGACGACGAAATTAGACTCTAAATAGAGTTTGAGGCTCAGGAAAGGCTTTACACAGCTTTAGGAACTGACAAGGCTTTGAAAGCAGGGTCAGTTTTCAACGAATGAGCGTCGCCCACTGCACCCCGCGCACCCTGGTCTGCTGCTGCGACATCTTTCCCACCAGGACACTGACAGATATTTCACAGATAAGGAAACTGAAGCTTAGAGAGCTGGAGCCGCTTGCCCACGGCCGTAGAGCTGGCAAATGGGAGAGCCGGGACCCACATTCAAACCCGTCTGAGCTGGGCTGTGTGTCGGCTTTGTTGGGTTCCAGAGTGGTCAGGGGGAAGGAGCCTTTGGATTTGGTAATTAGGGGTCACTCATGGACCCGTGGCGATGGGGCAAAGATCGTGGGTTCTGAGGAGGTGGCTGTCTCCTGGGTTGAGGTTCTCTTGCACTTCAGGGCACAGGTAGTAGTGGTCATGAAGGAATACTGGGGAAGGTAGTGTAGCAGGACGAGCCGCAGACAAAACTCCTCAGACACTGAGTTAAGGAAGGGCTTTATTCAGCCGGAAGCTTTGGCAAGACTCACGTCTCCAACAGCTGAGCTCCCTGAGTGAGCAATTCCTGTCCCTTTTAAGGGCTCACAACTCTGAGGAGGTCCATGTGAGAGGGTCGTGAGCGATTGAGCAAGCACGGGGTACGTAACTGGGGGCTGCATGCACCGGTAATCAGATTGGAACAGAACAGGACAGGGATTGTCACAGTGCTTTTCTATACAATGTCTGTAATCCATAGATAACGTAACCAGTTAGGTCAGGGGTCGATCTTTAACTACCAGGCCCAGGGCGCGGTGCTGGGCTGTCTGCCTGTGGATTTCATTTCTGCCTTTTAGTTTTTACTTCTTTCTTTGGAGGCAGAAATTGGGCATAAGACAATGTGAGGGGTGGTCTCCTCCCTTATTCCCCCACTTTGAGAGTCTCACTCATTTTATTAGTGGGAGTTCTCACCTTCATTTTCACTGCCTATGTCTTTCTGCATGACAGATCGATAGTGATTCATGTAGCACACTTGCGCTGAAGCATTCTGGTGAACTAGAGTAGCGATGAAACCTTTTACCATTTGAATGAGTACAGGTAGTAAATAAGGGATTAGTAAGCAGGTTCCTATACTACTATAATTTTTATTACATGAGTTTTAAATCCTCTTAGCGCTGGGAACCATTTTTAAACATGGCCTCAGTGTCAAATCCGTGCCACACTTGTACAGGCACATGCGCCAGTTTCGTCATGTCTTTAACTGTCTTTGACTACTTGCGCCGATCATGTATGTGCAGGCAGCAGTTAGTAAGGTTAAATTTTCCACAGACTTCTCCTTCAGCTGCTAGCAAGTAGTCGAGAGCCAATCTGTTTTGATAGATAGCATTTCTCATCTGAGTTTCTTGCCAGGCCAGAATAGTCAAGGCTCTGCTGGTTTTATTAGTGATGATTTCTAAGACAGCTTGTTAACCGTATGATTCAGTTGAGCACATAAATGGGGGTCCGGTATCCTCATGAGCTGTCTTGTGCCTAAGTAGCAGGCCTGTAATATTGTATGATTTTCTCAAGGGGCCGTTTATTACTATTTTTTATATTTTTTAATAGCTATGCTTCTCTTTTCGCGGGAGGCATAGACAGAGAAGCTCAGGAGTTCACCTGTCCTCATGGGCAGTAGGAAGAAAGATGGTTTAATAGTGCCAATACCATAACTACCTGCCCACTGGTCAAGTAATTTGGTGTAAGCTCTATGCCCACATATCTAGTATAATCCAGTGGGGGCTGTCCAGTCCTGGTGGGACTCCGGGTGGGTCCACACGGTTTGCAACTTTGGGCATTTACTAAATGGATTTTTCTTAGTATGGTGTGAACTCCACTAGGTGGCTGTTTTTGTAGTACTATTACACAGTTTTTGCTCAAGGCAACTGTGTCTTCCCACAAGAAGGGTGGAGTCCTTTCCTACTCTTGCCATACAGTGTTGTCTAATGATTGAGGCTTTTAGGACCTAGAAGTTATCAGGGTGATTTTTTTAAGCTGGGAATTCATTAGGAACTGCGTCTGTAGGTACTAATTCTCAGGCTTCCCATGGCCATTGATCTCCTATTACAGTTCTTCCACATACATAACATGAATTGACATTGAGAGACTGGGCTATATGCTCGGCTAATTGCAAAAGCAAATTTCTGTTTTTCCTAGAATTTCCGGTACTGGTACATTCAATTCATCGTAGAAGATTTGAAATAGTGGCTCAGGAGAGCGTTTATAAACTTCTCAAACCACGATATTTACTTGAAGATCCAGTCTAGCCCCATCAATTTTTAGGGTTACACGTTCCTCTTTTTTCTAGTGAGGATTAAGGGGGTTGGTTATTACTAGTTCTAAGGGGTTACACTGACCACTGGTATGGCTACTTTTCCCTTTCTGAAGGTGGACAGGATTTTTTAAATTTTTTATCCAAGTAGCCTAAATGACACAAGACCAGTATCCACATTTATTTTTATACAGTCCTAATTTATCATAAATGTACTTATTTTCTGCCATATAGCCTCTTTTGTAATTAAGAGAACCACATGCTATTTTTAACTTACTACTATTAATGACAGCACAGGCGTCAAATTTCAAGGTGACTTGTTTGGGCACCTCTTTTTTTGTTTGTTTGTTTTGGCTAACACTTTACTTGTATCATTTATGAGCCCCCACCAGTCTTTAGTTCTTAATCTTATTTTAAAAACTGTGGTCATGGGAGGCTCAGATGGGTCATAACACACATCAGGTTGGTCATTTCCTGGGCTACATATTATACAAATAAGTTCTTTTTAGAGTTCCAGTACACTTATAATAACCGTAAAATAATAGGACCTTAGCAACCTTTTGTCCTACCTCAGTGACTTCCATAGCAACCTTTTGTCCTACCTCAGTGACTTCCATAGCAACCTTTTGTCCTACCTCAGTGACTTCCATAGCAACCTTTTGTCCTACCTCAGTGACTTGATGTATACACTGGGAACAGCCTTCAGTCTGAGGAAGGTCAGTTGAAGTCCTTGTTGTACAAGTCCAAATTTTAAGGAAATGAGTCCCACGATTAGTTTCCTCATGCTTCGGCCTTGCGTGGACCAGTCAGCTTCCGGGCGTGACTGGAGCAGGGCTTGTCGTCTTCTTCAGAGTCACTTTGCAGGGGTTGGCAAAGCTGCTCCCGTCCACGTACCACTCACAGTCTACTGATACTCAAGGATGGTCTCGGAGGTTGGGCCTGCTAGAATAAACTGAGTCCAACACCTCTACACAGTTACGTTCAACTGGGCTCTCTGATACTGGGAGCAAGGTGGTGGGGTTTAGGGTGTTGCAAACTTCAGTAGTTATGCGGGGATTTTCACACAGCAAACTTTTGTACTTGGTTAATCTAGCGTTTGTTAACCAATGATGTCCTTTGGTAGTCATTAAAGTTACCACAGCATGGGGGGGCCTTTGTATTCAGGTTTTGCCCAAGGGTTAGTTTATCTGCTTCTTGTGCTAACAGGGCTGTTGCTGCCAGGGCCCTTAGACATGGGGGACCAGCCTTCGGAAACCCCGTCTAGTTGTTTGAGAGATAGGCCACTGGCCTTGGCCAGGGCCCCACAGTCTGGGTTAAAACTCCAACTGCCTTTTTTTTTTTTTCTTTTTGACACAGAGTGTGAAAAGTTTTGTGAGGTGAGGTAGCCCCAGGGCTGGGGCCGACCTGAGTTTTTCTTTTAACTCATGAAAAGCTCGTTGCTGTTGGTTGTAATAGATGTAGTTTATCCAATCTACA